CTGTTTCCATGAATCCCAGGCCTTTGAAGACAACAAGTGGAAGGAATCCAACAAGAGTCTTTGTAGTACTGTAGTTTCTCTCATCTTCCCCCAGCTGTGCAAAGGAACTTAATATTTATAAGCAAGGGAAGTCCTGGGTATTATATCAAAACTATTCAGTGGGGATGCATATAATAGCAAGGCTTTTTGATTCCTAGCCTTTGAAGCATTTGCCGGATAAAGATAACTGGACAGGAAACCTCTTCCTTGTTACGTTGCTGTCCATCCATCCTGCTCATTCATAGCCTCAACCTAATCCTGATCCACTAACAACAACTTGTGACTAAAAGTTAAATAAATAAATATATAGAAATCTATGGTTGGGCAATAAGGACCAAATGCTCTTGATGTTGCTCCTTATTGAGTGAAACTTATTTGAAAATTTCATTAATTGTACTGTGGTATTTCTGATACAAAGATCAACAAAATAGGTGCAAAAGCACGCACACTTGAGTGACCTGGAACTCCACTTAATTGAATTATTTTATTTATTTACTAATATTTAGACATTGCTTAGGTCTGAAAATTTAAAACAAGTGTACAACTATGGAAAAACATGTAGTAAAAGCAACTTTACAGTATAAAAGTACAGTATTCACAATGCAGATTGGGTTACAAAAGGCAGGCCCAGAGACCTTCGGGTAGTGTGGGTGGCATATAAGTTAAAATAAATAAATAAATAAATAAAATAGGTAAAATTTCCCTGTGCCCTTAAATCTTACATACCTTGAAAATGTTTTTAGGGTTTTCATTGGTTAGAAACAATGTGATGGTACAGAAGATACAAGCAACATACAAACAGATCTATATAATAATAGCATAAGATCCTGAGTCCCAGTTTTTGTTACATTGCATCTCAGCTACTACACCACACTCTTTTTGTTTTGGTTGGTACAAAATGCAGTACAGTAGGTATTTACTAACTGGTAGACAGTGTCAAGATCATATTATTCAAGTGCAGCCATTTATCATTTTTTGGGTTCTGTGAGGCTATTTTCTCTACATAAGTAATGCTTAGAAAGGTGTGAATACATATATAATTAACAGTGTGGTGTCAAATGAATTCTGATTGATTGGCAACTTTTTTCAGGGTTTTCCAGGCAGAGAGTACTCAGAAGTGGTTTTGCCATTCCCTTCTTCTGTGGGTGCCCTGGGATGGTGCAGCTGGCCCAAGACTACACAGACTGGTTCTTCCAGGAGGAGGAGAATGCAAAATATACACTCTCAAGTTCCATCTTCCATTACGGTGCCAGGGGCTGTTTGTAGAGGGGGGGGATGAAGATCAGGAAGAGCCCTGTATCTGCAGGCGATCTTTTCCATGATTTGCCCAAAACCGTGGATAGTAGCAAACCCTATATACAACATACAAGGAAGCAAGACAAAGGCCACAAGGTTTCTCCCTTTATATGTTGTACATAGGACTGCAGGAAGTACTGAATAATTGAAACTTTGGATACCGATTCTGTGGATATGGCGTTTCTACAGTAGTGCAAATGTCTCTTTAAATGGGTCAAGAATAACATCCCAAATATTTTTGTTGCCCCAGGCAGAAGATCCACAACAGAAAGAAAACAGCTCTGGCTATACAGTCTTTAAGGTCCTAATAATACAAAGACAAACAAATGTTGCACTACAATTTTCATCGCCCTCAGCCAGCATGCTGGGGATGGTGGATATTGTAGTACAGCAGTTCTGTAGGGTTCTATGTTGTGAATGGCTGGTTTGTGGTCGCATTGTATGTGTCTGTTAATCTATTCAATTGCTTTCTGTTATATGGGGAAATACAAAAAATCTTGTCATGATCTAATATGTTCTAAGCCACAAATGATTCATTGAAACTGGTTTTTTGCTGGAAAATTAACAGTGGTTAACAATCACATTCTTTGTCAAACTGGTGATAGCAACAACTAAGCAAATGACAATGTTGTTAATCAACTGTGAGTCAGAAGTCCATCAGAGTAACTTTTTCTCTCAGTCTTCTTATTCATAAAAGATTCTGCCACAATAAAAGTATTAGTCTTTAAGGTATCACAAGACTGCACTTTTGTTGTTGTTTAGTCATTAAGTCGTGTCCGACTCTTCGTGAAATCCAGCTTGTACTTCTAGGAGTTCTCGGTCCACATATTGCTGAAGCCTACCTTATAGGATTTTGAGCATAACCTTGCTAGAGTGTGAAATGAGTGCAATTGTACAGTAGTTAGAGCATTCTTTGGCGCGGCCCTTCTTTGGGATTGGGATGTAGACTGATCTTTTCCAATCCTCTGGCCACTGTTGAGTTTTCCAATCTTGCTGGCATATTGAGTGTAGCACCTTAACAGCGGCATCTTTTAAGATTTTAAATAGTTCCACTGGAATGCCATCACCTCCACTGGCCTTGTTGTTAGCCATGGTTTCTAAGGCTCACTTCTCTTCATTCTCCAGGATGTCTGGCTCAAGCTCAGCAACCGCACTATCTGGGTTGTCCAGGACATCCAAATCTTTCTGGTATAATTCTTCTGTGTATTCTTGCCACCTCTTCTTGATGTCTTCTGCTTCTGTGAGGTCCCTACCATTTTTTGAACAGATCTCTGGTTTTCCCCTTTCTATTATTTTCCTCTATTTCTTTGCACTGTTCATTTAAGAAGGCCCTCTTGTCTCTCCTATTCTTTGGAAGTCTGCATTCAATTTTCTGTAACTTTTCCTATCTCCCTTGCATTTGTTTCCCTTCTCTGCTATTGGTAAGGCCTTGTTGGACAGCCACTTTGCTTTCTTGCATTTCATCTTCTTTGGGATGGTTTTTGTTGCTGCTTCCTGTGCAATGTTATGAGCCTTATATCCCAGTACAGCTTTTCCCACTCTTTTGTTGACTATGGGGGCTACTCCATTTCTTCTACGGGATTCTTGCCCATAATAGTAGATATGATACTTGTCTGAACGGATTTCGCCCATTCCCGTCCATTTTAGTTCACTGACGCCCAGGATGTCAATGTTTATTCTTGCCATCTCCTGTTTGACCACATCCAACTTACCAAGGTTCATATATCTTACATTCCAGGTTCCTTTGCAGTATTTTTCTCTGCAGCATCTGACTTTCCTTTTATTTCCAGGCGCGTCCGCAGCTGAGCATCCTTTCGGCTTTGGCCCAACCACTTCATTCGCTCTGGTGCTACTTGTACTTGTCCTCTGCTCTTCCTCAGTAGCATGTTGGACGCCTTCCAACCTGTAGGGCTCATCTTCCAGCATCATATCTTTTAGCCTTTTGTTTCTGTTCATGGGGTTTTCTTGACAAAGATACTGGAGTGGCTTGCCCATTCCTGCTCCAGGTGGGTCATGTTTAGTCTGAACTCTCCCCTATGACCTGTCTCTTTGGTGTCCCTGCACGGCATAGCCCATAGCTTCTCTGAATTTCTCAAGCCCCTTCGCCACGACAAGACAGCAATCCATGAAGGGGAAGATTGCACTTAGCTGCACTTTAACATATATGAGTACAGTTTGTTGTATGTATCATTTATACAGTCCTTATTGCTTTTTTTGTCCACACAGACTCTTTCCATTTCCTATAGAAAATAGAAGAATGTTCCTATTTTATAAAAAAGTGGGGAAGAAAGATGTACAGTACATAAATTACACAGAGAATGCTCCATGAACTCCAAACCACAGACCATAATTTGGATATTTCATCTGGCATTCAAAATAGACCCTTTTTCCTGGCACTAAATATGCATTCTTTCTTTGGTACTGTGCCCTGGATAAGGATAATTTAGTGGTGATTTACACTAGAACATTGATCTACTTATCTGTGCTTGAAGAAAGGGCGGGTGAAGCTCTTTCTTCCTATGTGTTCTGTCAACTGCTCACTACCACAAAAGGAGAGATCTATTCCTTTGGATGTGAGCTTCTGTTCATTCTGGATGCCGGGAGACCTCAGGCAGTAACATAGTAATGGCAGGGTTCCTGAGGGTAAAGTGTGGAGAACACCACCAATAATTATATCATCTGCCATACCTCTGAGGTTTCCCTGTTCCCTCAAAGCGTGGCTGTCATTTTCACGGAAAGGAGGGGGCCTGGGAATTTTTTTTCTCATTTTTCAATATACTGCTGTGCTCTTCCTGAAAAGTATTTTGCCATGGTTTAGTCTGAAATTGACACATAAGACCCATTAAGTTTACAAAAGCCCAGTTCTTGGTGGAACTGAGGGTTTACAATGGGTTTAGTAATACAGTACTGTATCTCCCTGTATTTTTAAACTCTTCTTGCGTATATGCTATAGGGACTGTCATGATAACTGCCTGCAGAATTTATCACAATACCACTACAACTGAACAACCCCCCCCCCCCCGATACTCAGGTTTTGGGGCCTGCTGATGGACATGCAAACCTATAGTGGGTCCAGGTTTTACTACTATTCCACAGCTACTGGATCCCTGATTTATTGATTTATTTTACGGGAGAGTGGCTCTGAGGTGTGATATAATGGATCTTGCGTTTTCCTGTATGGAAGAATTCCGAGGATCCACGAGGACTAGTGCCTTGAACTGAGACGCTTTTGGGGATCTACACGATTTTTAGTGGCGTGCTTTATACGGTTTCTAGTGTGCTTGCAAAAAACACCCACCACGAGAAAACGCAAAGAAACGCGAATTGTTTTAGGGCCCGTTTAGACGTAATTAGATCCGATTAATTAAGAGGTGCAGAAGGCGCAGGAAATGAACGTCACGAAACCCGAAACCTCATAGGGGACAGTTCAACTGGAACAATACTAGAAAAAACCTCGACAAAAGAACTCGGCGGGAGGTTGGCTGGAACCTCCAAGCGGTGGGTGGAACTCTGGCATCTACTGTATTAATGTTCTAATGTCTCCGCCCCGCCCCCTTTTCTTCTCGAGGCAGCCAATGAGGAGCCTATGAAGGAGGTGGGCCCCCTCGGGGTGAAGTTTGGAAACTTTGCGCCGTCAAAAGGAGGGAGGGAAGGAGAGAGAGAAAGAGAGAAAAGAGGGAGGGAGGGAAGGAGTGGGGCGAGTTGTAGGGCGATCGCAAGACAGGGAGAACGAACCCGGGAAGGACTTGACTGGGAGCAATCGTGAAGGTAAGGAAGAGCCGCTTAGATCGGATGCTCGTGAACGGGGAGAGGTTTTTTAGGCAGAGAGGCTAAGACGGGGTAGAATGGGGTTATTATGCAGAATTTGGGTGGGATATTCGGGAAGGTGTGTGTGTGGGGGGGGCTTGGGTAGAGGCGGTGGGGATTGTCGGCTTCTGTCCCAGATTACAAATCCTTGCTCTTCCAATATCCCACGGTTGATTGCCAAGAGGTATGAATGAACCCCGACGGGACTTGAGCGATCGTGTACGGGAGGGAGCGCCTGCGAGTCGGGGTCGTCTTGGCTTAGATATGTGTGTAGGAAAGGGAGGGGAGGGTATTTGTGGGGCAGGAGCTCAGAGGTGGGTGGGCTTGGGGTGTTGTGTCTGGAAAGGGGCAGAATCTGGGTGGTTCACACAAGAGATCGTGCCAGGCTCGAGGTAATGGGGCGTAGATGTGTGGTGTGGGTCTTAGTGGGGGGGGGCTGGAGTGAGGGGACCCCGAGAGGGAGGATCGGGGGGGGAGGGACGTTTGGCACTCAGAAAAGGAAGAGAGTATTATGTAGGTTGAGGGAGATGAAGGAGAAAATGTATGGAGCATAGGGTGGTGTGGGGCTGGCTCTAAACTGATTTGAGGCTGATTGTGTACGTGCGAGTGTGGGAGAAGTGGCGCCTGCATGTACCCGTGGTTAACAATACGTGGTGGACACAAGGTTCTGTGAGAATCCAGTGCTAATCTGTTTTAAAGTATTTATTAAGTGGCGCCTGCATGTACCCGTGGTTAACGATACGTGCTGGACTCAAGGTTCTGTGAGAATCGAGAACTAATCTGTTTTAAAGTATTTTTTTTCTTTCTTTCCTTTTCTTCTTTCTTTCCTAGAATCCCCAGAATCCCCAGTCAGTGGCCATGCTGGCTGGGGATTGCGGGGGTCACAGTCCAAAAAGGAAAAAATTCCCAAGCTCTCTTTAATTGGCACAATTAGATGCTAATTAAGTTACATGATAATTGTTTAATTGAGACAGTCTTGGTTCTCACAATCCAGTGTGTGCCTGCCTGACTGGGTGAGTCCTGGAATAGTAGTGTAAAGAAGTTGCTTTTTAAGGCTATAGAATTGTGTGTACCTATATGACATTTTGCGTGTGGCCATGTTTGGGAGACCCAGCACAACGATGTGTCCTCCTTATAAAAATGCATGTGTCATTAGGGTGTACAAAGTCCAAAGACTGGGGAAGCTTTTCCTCCAAAGATGATCTAGTAATTATTTATTTATTTAAGTAAGCAAGTGGGGAAAATGCCCTGTGGGAAAACCTTAGATTAAAGCTTGTGTGTATTGAAAATGTAAGAGTCCAAACATCGCTTGTGAATGTGCATATGTGAGACCGTCCTTGTACGTAGAGTCTGAGAAAGTTCTTGTGCAACCAGAGATGTTCTCATGAGTTAAATGTGTCATGGAGGGGTTACATAAGTAGTACAGATTGCACACATTTTCATATGCATCGTGCTGAGCCTAGCTCAAAATGACTTGTGTGAATTAGGGCATGAATAAAATGAAGAGGGGAAAAAAACCTAATCATGAATATGAACAAGTTTGGTGCACAAGTCTGCAAATGGGTACTGTTGATTTTTTCCCCTCCATCAGGGAGTTTACGTTTAAAACTATGTAAAATTTCTGTTGCAAGAAAGAGCTTGGATAAAGAAGTGATCTTTTTAGATGTATACCAAAGTGCATTTATATAGTTGTCTATACGGAGATATACATACAAGAGAAGACTAACCACCCAATTGCATAAATCATTTTCTCTAGAATTGGCAGTATTATATATATGCAAGCAAAATGTAAGTTCAAGTAGCAGAAAGGCAGATTAATAGTAGCAGGGAGGGATCCATTTGGAGAAGATGGCAGCTCTTTAGATAGTAAAGGATGATTAATATCCTTTACGTGAGGACTGAGGGAAATGAGCTTGTCTTTCTGAGAAACTGTAATGCACAGCAACCACTTCCTCTTCTGGTGTCTTAATATACAGTACGATACAAGCTGCCTTCCAGTCAGGGTTCAGTTCTAAAACTTCATGGTGGCAGGAATCTGTGATAGATGAAAGAGTGCTCCTGGGCATGGATAGAGTGCAATGTTTTATTTGAAGAACTGCAGCTTGCCCCCAGTATAATGACTAGCAAGTTGTCTTGGAAAGTCCATATGCAGGAGAGGAAGGCAGGTAGCCTGCCCCCTGCTGTTCTTCCCCAGCAACTGCAATTCAGTGACACAATGAACCCTGCAACAAATAGTTGCAGTGTTTCCCTGCATGGAATCAGCCAGCCATGTGTACTGTGGCTGACCATACAGTGTCTTATTTGGCTTCCTGTCCTGGTGCTTAGGAGTGTTCTTTTATAAGTTTCCCTAAACATCAATGTCTCTTTTGGCAAATCTGGACTTCCTCCAAGTTTGCCTTCCTCTTATGAATAAATTGTGCATATTTATATGTGAATTTATTGACTGATTGATTTGATTTTATTTGATTTTTATACTGCCCATCTGGCTGCCAAGGCCACTCTGGGCAATTTACAAAACAGGATAAAACAATAACATAACAAACAAGGATAATCAACAAAATATAAGAGGTACTAAACAAGTTACACTTACAAAACACACAATAAAAGCATAATAACTAAAATAAAAGCATGTGAGTGGGTTGGATGTTAGTTATTTAAAGCACTATTATATCATTGTGTTTTAGTATCTGGGAAGGCCTGTTTGAATAACCACGCTTTTATAGTTTTTAAAGGTTCCCAATGAAGGGGTCAGGCGAATTTCAGGCAGGAGACTGGTCCATAGTTGTGAGGCGACTGTCGAGAAGGCCTGATTTCTGGTCATCGTTTTTCGGGCCTCTCTCAGGGTCAGAACTCTCAGCCTCCTGGCCTAGGAATATCTTACAAGGCGGACAGATCTGATAAGAAGGAGGTGTTCTTCCAGATGTTGAAGTCCTAAACTGTTTAGGGCCTTATAAGTGACTCAGTGCCATCACTTTGAAGCCGTCACGGATGCAAACAGGTAACCAGTACAAGGCGGCCAAGGTGGAGGAAAAGTGTTGGTGTCTCCTTAGCCCACTCAACAATCTGGATGCCGAGTTCTGGACCTGTTGAAGTCTCTGTAACAACCCCAAGGGTAGCCCCACGTAGAGAGCATTGCAGTAGTCTAGTCTTGAGACTACTGGTGCAGGAAAGAATGTGGTGAGGAACCCGGTGTCAAAATAGGGACTCAACTGGGCAATCCGCCTTAGATGGAAATAGGTGGAACAGACCACAGACGCTATCTGGGATTCTATTGACAGCGCTGGGTCCATGAGTACACCCAAGCTGCGCACCTCATTCTTCATGGAAAGAGTGTTCCCCCCCCAAAGGAGAGGGAAGCACCCTGACTGCAAACACCAGGGGCACACATGCACCTGCAGGATTTCCATCTTGCCCAGGTTCAGCTTCAATCTATTATCCCTCATCCATCCCAGCATGGCGTCCAGGCAGTGTTCAAGGGGTGCAACATCATCATCTGCAGAGAGGTGGAAGGAGAGATAGTCGTGTCCGCATACTGGTGACACGAAGCTCCAGAACTCCTGATGACCTCCCCCAGCAGCCTCAGATAGATGTTAAATAGCACTGACTACAAAAAGTGAGTGGCTTTGTGAGAATGTTCAGCAGCGTGGCTGCAGAACTGTAACGGTGGAGAGAATGTGATGGATTTATATTGTAGGCACTGGTCATTGTGGGCCTGCCTCTCCCATATTTCTCACCACTGGCTATGCTGGCTGGCGTTGATGGGAGCTGTGGTCCACCAAAGTCACATCTGAACAGCTACCATGACCTATGGCTAATTAAGACCTATACCTGGTTAAAATAATAGATGAAAGCCTATGAAATGTTTTATGATGGAAATGAAGCAGTATCGACACACCCTGGTGTTCTTCCGGGCAAATGGCTCCTAGAGAGGATGGCTCAAGACTAGAGGTGGGGGGAACCCCTCCAAATGTTGAGATGAGGCGTCCTCTATCCTGGTCAATGAGCCATCTCTGGCTCTTGGTATTACCACTTGAAAGACATTGTGTGGCTATTCTGTGTTATTCCTCCTTATTCAAGTGTTTGTGGAAGGAAGATAAAAGAAGTGGGGAGGAACCGTGGGTGAATTACAATTACCAGAGGTGGGGATGACATCTGGAAACCACCATCGGCTGTTAAAAGTCTTGAGAGCATGCAATTGTTTGATAACAGTTGCTTTTCACAGCAGCCCTAAGTTAGGACTGCATTTCTCTTGTTTCTACCCAGTGGTCTACCAGCTTTTTAGATGAAGCCCATCTACAGTCCATGAAAGCTGACACCAAGTACAACGTGGCAGTCTTAAAGATGCCAAAATCTCTGGCTGAAATCCTGTTGCTTAGTATAGTAACTCTCACTAGAATAGTCCCCTTGAATTAGTGGGGATTTGGGAAGCCAAGCCCTCTGTGAGTTCCATTGATTCAAATAGGGCTGAGCGTAATTGAGTCATGACTAGAATAGGCCCATGTGAATACGGGTTGGTTCTGCCAAGGGCGGTTCCGATAACAGCGCGGGAAAAAGGAAAGGAGGCTGTTCTTTTCTAAACAGAATCAGTTTTATTTGTAAACAAACTCAACTCGGCTGGCTCAAACGGGTCAATTAAACTCAACTCTGGTAACAACTTATAACTTCGAACTCTTGTGGCTATTTCTTTATCTTCTTACAGGGGGGCTGGCCCAAATCGTTCCCGGTCAGTCATAGGGCGGATCGGTGTGGTCCGTACCGCGCAAACTGTCCCACAACATGGGTGTCTCGCCCAGTCCCCCTCCTGCTGACTCTGGAGTAAAGAGGGACTGGGACGGATCACCCGCCTCCCCCCCACACACTGATTGCGTGGGTAAACCACCACAGTCCATTCCAGGGGATCTACCTCTTGACCACGCACGGCGAACTCAGGAGGTCCCAGCAGCAATCCTCCATCAACCTGTAGATTCGGAAATTCTTTAAGTAGCTTCAGAAAACTGTCATGGCCCATACTCCATTCTGTCTGTGCAGACCTATCTTTCTTGTCTGCTGGTTCGCTCTTTACCACTCTAAAACTTCCCGCCTTTTCTCCCTCATTTATATCTTCCCGTACAATCAAATCAAGCTCCTCCCCTCTCTCATCAACCAAACACACTTCCCTATAATCCTGTACTTCCCGGTTACCTGGTTCCACCTCTACTAATATCCCCTCCACACATTGGGATTTGGGAAGCCAAGCCCTCTGTGAGTCCCATTGATTCAAATAGGGTCACTCTAGTTGCAGCTTAGCGTAATTGAGTCATAACTAAAATAGGCCCATTTTTATCAATGGAACATATGGAGGAGTTGATTCACCCCACCCCCACTGATCCAAATGGGCTTATTCTAGTGTGACTTACTATGCTAAGCAAAAATATTTCAACAACTTTGTTTTGCTGCAGCAGACAAAAATGGCTCCCCCACCACCACCACCACCACCATTGTGCTTTTTAGGTAGAGACCAGTATGGTTCCTCCTGCTGTACTTTCTTATTTGGTGGTTTGGGTTGGAATTGCAGGTTTTTGGAAAGGACAGGAGGCTGTGGTAGATTCTTCTCATAGAATCATGCAGATGGATAAGAAGCTGTGGTTTGGGAGAGGAGGTATGTGTGTGTGAATGTGATAAGCTAGCTTACAATACTGACCAGAAAAAAAGAAGAGAGTAAGAACATGGGGCCTTCACAGGGCTGGCTTTGCCATTAGGCAGAATGAGGCCACTGCCTTAATGAATAGCAGATTTTAGGGATGTCATGAAATGGCAGCAAATTATCACTTATTTAGTTTTTTTATGTTTCTGTTTTCCTGCTGTGGTCGGGGAAAGACCCTTGTGGCATTTTCTACCTTGTCTGTCAGTCAGTCAGTCAGTCAGTCAGTCAGTCAGTCAGTCAGTCAGTCAGTCAATCAATCAATCAATCAATCAATCAATCAATCAATAGGACCACAGAACATTAGGCTACTCAAAACTGACTTTTGGAACATTTGCAGGCACCACTATTATTTTGTCTTACATGGCTGGATGGATTTTCACCAAATTTTGAGGGTGCCTTGGTGGGTTGTGATTTCAAATATAGGCCGTGTGATGTACTTAAAAATCCTGTTGGGGGACCTCTGGGTCACTCCAATTATTTTTTATTACCTACACATAATTTTAAAAAGTTTCTGTGAATTTAGGGCAGAAGTTTGCATGTTTTGGAAATGTTTCCAAATAGTCATTAATCAGGGGCCATGCCGGCTGGGGTATTCTAGGAGTTGTATTCCAAGGATAAGCTAAATGTGTATAGAGAGATAAAGAGAGACTAGTGCAAACAACAACAAAAAGGTGGCGCTGAGAGAAGACAGATGATAGCAATGTAAAAATGAGACTCATGGGATTTTAACCAAAACAAACCTGGGTACACTGTTTAGTTTGCCAATATAATTTACTAGGCTTTCTATAGTGTGTACTTTGACTAGGTAGTAGCCATTACAGCTTTGGTCCAGGCAGGAAATATAACTTGGATCAGACCTTGGACAGCAGAGGACACTTCCCACAGTGTGGAAGTAAAGGCATTGCTTCAATGTCGGTTTAGAAAGTTGGCAACCCAACACAAGGGCTGGGGAAATGGGTGGAAATACGTTATCTCTTGGGACCAGTTGACAATGCCTATGGTTATTATCAACAAGTTTTTGCTCTTTGTAATGGAAAAATTTGCGGCTGGGGAGCAAAATCTTTCACCTTCTGTTTATTGCATGCTGTGACAACTGACAATCTGAAGAAGAGAAACCGTTTCCCTATAATAACTGAGTGGGTCATGGTTGTGATCGCTCTTTGCAGGGTTTTATGTGACAATAGAGGCCTAGGGCCTGTTTTTGTAAGAAGCTTTTAGAAATGCTTGGTTCCCTTTCCCCAAGTGATGAGCTTGAAATAACATATAAGGATTTAGATCATGGCTGGGAGGGAAACGGGGCCCTGAGGACACTGAACCTCTATTTTGTGTCTCTCTTTGACACCCCTCTTCTCCTTCCCTTTCCCACAGGAAGGCACAATGTCCCGCAAAGGATGCCTCAGCGTCACAAAGTACTTCCTCTTCATCTTCAACCTCTTCTTCTTTGTGAGTAATTTGGCAGGAACTAGCCTCCTACGTAGCTAGATGGGGCCGTCAGTATGATCCCTTGAGTACCTCACTTATGGAGAATGAGGAAGGATGAAAGAAAGGTTAACACAAGTGTGTGGAAACATAACTTTATGATTCCATTCTCTCTCTTTTTCCATTCTCCTCCCTTCCCCATGCCCTCTCCTAGATCCTTGGAAGTCTTCTCTTCAGCTTTGGCTTGTGGATCCTTTTTGACCGAAATAATTTTGCTTCAGTTCTTGGTGAGTACAATTTTCCATTCTATAGTAAGAGTTTGCCATTACACTTTTGTCTCCACTGGCACTGCATCTCACCATCCCAGCCACTGGGAGAGTCCTGGGAAATAATAAGAAGAAAGGGCCTTCAAAATACATGCCACTTCTAGTTTTGCCGCTCCCCATCCAATGGCTTGTGTCTTTTGAATTCTGCATTAAAAAGAATCTTTAGCATAGGATTTCAGCTCATTTTGGCACAGTTCAAAAGGTTGGGAGTACAATTCCCAAAATTCCACACCTCAACCTCCATGCAGGCTGAAGGATTCTGGGAGGTGAAACTCCCAAAATGTGACTTTTTTTGTGCTCTGGGGAATGGGTTGTTTGACAGGTATGTCTTTGAAATCTTCACCATCTTTTTTGTGGCGTTTGGCTGACGGTTCTGTCATGTTGGGGTTTGACTGATTTTGTTTCTTTTTTTCCCCCAGGGTCATCATATTATGCCCTGAAGGTCTGGTCCTATATTTTCTGTGGTGTTGGCATCCTCACAATGTTGATAGGCTTCCTTGGATGTCTTGGTTCTCTCAAGGAAATCAAGTGTATGCTCGGATTTGTAAGTAGCATGAGACATGAGGGAAAGGAAGCTGGGATTTTGGAATAGATCCCAATTGAGCAGGGAATGCTGGGAGCCAGGACTTCTTTGGAAATGAGGCTTATCATGTTGACAGAGAAGTGTGTACCAACTGTCCAAGTGGACAGAGGACTAGATTTAGAAAAAACAACTAAAAAAAACAACAACTACCAGCAAGTGCCACCATGAGACATGAGGGAAAGGAAGCTGGGATTTTGGAATAGATCCCAATTGAGCAGGGAATGCTGGGAGCCAGGACTTCTTTGGAAATGAGGCCTATCATGGTGACAGAGAAGATGCAAAATCCCACATTAATAATTATATTGAAATAGAACTGCCAATATCATAGTGCCTGCATAGGAACCTGTGGTTCATGGCTCCAACTGGAATATTTGTGTATGGCTCTGGTCACACCAGCTAAAAAGCTTACTGTAGAATTTACAAGGGTGCAGAAAGCCACAGCTAGAATTACGTGTTGAGAAAGCACATTTCCTGATCATGAAAGGCTATCATATGTGGGACTTGTTAAGTTTTCACAGAGTGAATGAACAGTTCTGTGTACTAGTTATGTCAAGAGTGGGGAGAAATATTGCCACCATGTTAAGTGGAACAGCTCTTGAATCCTATATGTGCTCAGCCCAGGAGGAGAAAACAGTAATTTTAATAAAACCTGGGGCAAAATCCAGAGATTTCTCTCCCGCATTCCACAATTCACAAGGAGAATTGTGCCAATGTTGATGTTTTCAGGCTGCCAGTGATCTCTCTTGTCCTAGCTTGTATGCGCCTGCATCACTCCCCACATGTGTGACAGACACAGAATGACTTTATTGGCCTCACTCTGCTGAGATCTAGCAGCACAGGCAACTGTGACTCTGATACTGCCAGCCACTCTCTACTCCTTCATCTAGAGTAGTGGTTCCCAACCTTAGGAAACCTGCATTTTCTTGGACTGCAACTCCTAGAAGTCTTCACCACCAGCTGTGCTGGCTGGAGTTTCTGGGAGTTAGTAATTATAATAATCTTAGAGCTGCAGAGCTGGCAGGGACCCTATGGATCATCTGGTCCAGCCTTTTTCACAGTGGGGGAGTCAAGCTCCCAACCTCTGGCTCCACAGCCAAGTGCTAAAACCCACTGAGCTGTCCAGCAGATGCAGTCCAAGAACACCGGTTTACTCAATTTAGGAACCACTTTTCTTGGGTGATATCCAGATCACTTTTATTGTTTTCACAGGCACCATTTTGGGGCCTAGCAAACAGAGGAAGAAGAGCCCACACAACAGAAAGGAGTTCTGTGCCTTGATTTTGGGGCCTAGCAAACAGAGGAAGAAGAGCCCACACAACAGAAAGAAGGGGTTCTGTGCCTCATGATTTACCTGCATGTGTAAATTGGAGTTTATTTTAAAAATTGTCGCCTCTAATCTTTCTTTTCTTGCCTTTGTGTGTAATATGCATATATTTACCTTAGTTAGACCAGCACCAGGAGGGTAACACGTAAGAAATTAAGAGTGGTGCTGGATTAAACCAAAGGGTTCTTAATTCCTTGCATCATTTGAATATATGTTTTTAAAGCATGGATTATGATTTCTGCATTTCTTAATGCCAGTGCTCTGTTCTCTTCGGAAAACTTTGTGGCCACTGTGCCTCAGAGAACAGTCAAAATTAATTATGGGGTATAAGTTATAGAAACTTGATGATGTGATTGAATTTTGATGATTTCCTTTTCTTTCAACAGTATTTCACCTTCCTGCTGCTGCTTTTTATTGCTCAAATCACCATTGGAATCTTGATATACACACAGCGCAATAAGGTGAGTCATATCACAAGCTGGGGATGGAGAATGCGATATCTGTGTTCATAGAATAATTGAGTTGGAAGGGGCTTATAAAGCTATTGGGTCCAAACCCCTGGTCAACAGAGGAATTCAAGTCAAAGCTAATCTGACAGATGGTCGTCTAATTTTCTCTTAAATGTCTCCAGCCTACCAAGGTAGTTGATTAAATTATCATACTGCTCTAACAGTTAAGACGTTTTTTCCTAATATGCAGCCTAAATCTGGCTTCTTGTAGCTTGAGCCCATTATTACATTCCTGCTGTGCTCTGGGATGATTGAGTACAGATCCTGCCCCTCTGTATGACTATGTCTCAAGTATTTTAAAAGTGCTATCATATCTCTGCTTAGTCTTCTTTCCTCAAGGCTTTTCTCAAAGGCTGGTTGCTATGGAGCTTCCCAAACTAATGTTTTTCTCATTCTGATCAAACTGAAACATCTACAGTCGTGCCCCGCTTAACGATTACCCCGTATAACGACGAATCCGCTTCATGACGATGTTTTCAATTGCGATCGCAAAACGATGTTTTAAATGGGGTTTTTTCGCTTTGCAAAAATCGGTTCCCTGCTTCGGGAACCGATTCTTCGCAAAACAGCTGATCGTTGGGTTTTCAAAATGGCCACCGGGTGCTCAAAATGGCTCCCCGCTGTGTTTTTGGACGGATTCCTAGCTCTACAGACACTGAAAATGGCTGTCCCTATGGAGGATCTTCGCTGGACGGTGAGTTTTTCAGCCCATTGGAATGCATTGGACGATTTTCAATGCGTTTCAATGGGCTTTTTTATTTTGCTTTACGACATTTTTGCTCTACAGCAATTTAGCTGGAACGAATTAACGTCGTTAAGTGAGGCACCACTGTAATAGTCTTTTCTGCTGCTCCAGCCCCCATTACCTTGATGTCTTTCTTGCTGGTCTTTTACCGTAATAAAGTTACCCTTATCCTTGATATCTTTCAATCAAGCAGTTCCTACTACAGTACTAGCACTGAAAGGGCATTGTGCAGTTCTTCTTTCCCCCCTGCTCCACCTTAAATGGGTATATTTTTTATTTTAAAAAATGAGACATGCAGTAGAAAAACATGGGAGGACAACAAATTGAAGATATGGCCATCTTGGACAATTTTGATGAGTGAGGCCATTTGATTTGTATGGTAAGAGCAGAAGCTTGGAAAACTTACTTTTTTTGTTGTTTGAACTCACTTTGAGGATTCTGGGAGTTTTAATCCAAGATAGCAACTTTTCCAGTATCTGGATCTTTAAGTCCCTTTAATCATGGTCTAAACATGCACTAGTAGGGGACAGAAAAGATATGGCCATCTATAGCTTTGTGAGAACAATCTCGCATCACTCCTGATGCTAGCTGATACTCATAGGAGAGAGAGAGTCCAACAATGTATTGGGGGGGAGCTAACTGGTTTTCTGCCTGTGTAGCAGAATGGTAGGATAGACTGAACCACTTCAAATGACAAGTGGTGTGCATATGTGTCTGTACCATTTTTAGAAAGATTTCGTACGGAACAGGTTTGCTGACAGTAGGAAACCACAGGCTAGGGAGAAAAGCTGTAGCTCAACTCACTTCCTGGGTGATGATTTCTCACTGGGAGGAGGTCTCATCTGACGCAGAGGAAGCATTCAGAAAATACGTTGCCTGCCACTGAAGTAAAACATTCCATTCAACCACATCACCACGTCATTCAGCTGTGTGGGTCGACGGAGCCCTGGCTTTCCTATCTAACCCACTTTAGGGAGCCGAGCCGCAGGTGGGGGAATCAGAGTTTGTAGCCCAATTTACTTTTGGGGCTTTCGCTCTCAAAATCCTCCAGCCTGAATAATCCTTGGAGCTGTTGTTTTTTTTTAAAAAAGTAACTTTTCTAAGCTTTGGTTGCCCAGGACGTGTGAACCGGGTATGGATTGTTGAGAGATGGTGGAAGCTGAGTGATCCTTGCCTTTCTCTCCGGGTGCCTGTGAGTCACAGATACGGGTGGGGCAGGGAGGGCCCATTAAGATCGGTGTATTTTCCTCCAGGGGGTAGGTGTGAGGTTTCTCTGCTGGGAGCAAGCAGTGCTTGTTCTGCCGTGATTCCTTTGGCTCTCGACTGCAGCGCAGATTCTCTGTCGGCCTCCCATGCTTCAGGCAGGCTAAAATAATAAAACTTTTCCGGACACTCAGCATATTCATGCAGCTAGTCATTTATTTGGCACCTGTAAAAAAAAAATCAACAGCAATTGAGAGTGCTTTCAGCTGAGAGGTTTATTATCTTACCTTATTTTTGGAAGCTTATAAGTGAGTCTAGATGATGTTGGCTTCTGTTCTTAAACCTCCTTTGATTTCCCGTCATTGCTTCTATTTCTTTTTAATGAAAAAAAGGTTAAATAATAAAAAAGATGAAACAGCTGCACAGTGTCTTTTGATTGCTGGCGCTAGCAGTCTTGGTCTGGAAGTACCTAAATAACACAGCATGGAAAAGTTACTTTTAAAGAATAAAGCATACTACTTATATATTTACTGTCCCGTAGCACTTAAAGCACCCTCTGGAGGTTTACAGTTTAATTATGCAGGCTACACATTGCCCCCCACTCCCAGTAAGCTGGGTATTCAATTTACTGACTTCAGAAGGATGGAATACTGAGTGAACCTTGAGTCGGCTACCTGGGATTGAACCTGAGTCATGAGCAGAGTTTTGACTGTAGTACTGCAGTTTGACCACTGCACCACGAGGCTCAGAATAATGAGAATACAGTTCCCGGAATCTCCATGAGACCATGCTGAGAATTAGTTGCAGCCAAATAATTAATTTTTCTGAGATCTGTCTTAAAAAGCAGGGATGGGAAACTTATGACCTGCCAGATGTTGTAGGACTGCACCTTCCACCAGCCCTGGCTAGGATTCCTGTGGGAAATTGCTGAAAGCCAAACAACATCTGGAAGGGCACTTGTCCACTTCCGCTGCTTTAAACTCTTGCATTACTCCAGGACAAGAGGAGTGGTTGTGTGATGACTGCTAATCCTCTTCACAGCCTGTTGACCAAATGAGAGGGAGGGGATTTTGTGCTTATCCTTGTCAGCACCCTGCAGAGTTGGTTCCTTCTGGATAAAAAGAGAAGCCAGTTGTTTTCAAGTTCAGTTTTGTTTGGAAGTTGGTGGAGTGGGTGTGGCTCTAAGGGACAGACTTATTGGTGAAGGCAGGTACTGTATGTTGTATTCTCCCATCTTGTTTCATTTTTTAAGGAGCCCATAAAACTGAAGTGGGTCATGTGATGCTGATATGCCAGATGCATATATTTTGGGTCATTTTTAGTGCCTTTGAGCTCCCCCCTCCAAAGCCCTGTGGGACCTCTCTCAAGCCAGGATTTCTCCCTCCCTCCAAAATATATACAGTATATGTATATATTTGTGTTTGCAAACCCTCTCCCCCTCCTCCAGTCTTGGAGCCCTCTGGGACCAGTGGTTTTGGCATTTCACTGGTGTCACAGCTCTAAAGTTGCCAGATCTTGGTACATTGCTGTGCTTTGTTTTTTTTTAAGTCTCTGGATAGCGAGACACATCTCTGTCCTGGAGAAAGCAAAAAAATTGATTTTATTGTGTGGTGGCCTTAATGCCTGGTTGTCTGTCTCCCTCCCACTTCCCGCTAGTCCCGGGGTTCGCTGACTTAAAGTGAAAGTATTGGTATTTGTGTTGTGCACAAATAAAGTTTATTTAGCAGGCAGTGAAGAAAACCAATTCTCTCTCTCTCTCTCTCTGTTTTACAACTGATACACAAGAGGACCAACATCCCTCCCAAACTCACTTTTGATAGCATGGAGACCCATGCCCTGCTCGTAGTTTTGTGTGATCTGGCAACACAAAGTTCAACCCACTCCCTAAAATTCAGAGGAAAAAAACAGTCAGAACTGGGCCTTGTGCAGTCTATAGAGGGAGGTGGCTGTTGAGCATTATGGCTGCTAGCCCTACCAAATCCCCTCTCCTTCGGTAGAGAATTGCCACACGTTTTTACAGACTTGCTTAGCGGGCTTGTGCTTTTCCTTGCCTCCATCAGGGCACTTGGCAGGGAAGATACAGGCCAGCTAGTCAGCCTGTCTTTTTGGTCATGCCAGGCTAGGAGGATCACATGGGAAACTGGAAATTGGCACAGTGATAACAGGAACATCATTATGTTCACTGTGGGTTGGAGGGCCTCCTTTAATCATTCTCTTCCACCCCCAACAGCTCAGAGAGACCGTCGGTGACTATGTATCTGGCATAATCAATACCTACGGAACCAGCGACCCATTGTCAGATCACGATGAGAGCTGGGATTTTGTCCAAAAGCAGGTAAGTTGCTGAACTCGAGAAGAAACATTCACTCCAGTTTTCTCTAGCCCAGAGGTGGCAGACATCTAGGCTTCCAGGTGTTCTTGGATTACAACTCCTATCAGCCTTAGTCTGTGTAGCCAATGTTGAGGGATGGAAGGAGCTGCGGTCCAGCAACATCTGGACGATCACCCTTACAGGATTGCATCACTGCTCTTACTATCCTGTTTCCCTGAAAATAAGCCCTAGTATGATTTTTCAGGATGCTCGTAATATAAGCCCTACCCCAAAAATAAGCCCCAGTTAAGTGAAACCCCACCCTCCACCATTGTGCAACAACCAGAAGACGACATGACTGCATTTGAATAAATGTAGATTGTTGTACATGAAAAAAATAAAGCATCCCCTGAAAATAAGCCCTAATACGTTTTCTGGAGCAAAAATTAATATAAGACGCTGCCTTACTTTCGGGGAAACACGGTAGCTGTGGCCTTGTTCATGGATGGCTGGAATTTTCAGAGCCTTTCATAACTAAAATGTAGTTTCACCAACACAGTTTTTATTGGTTGGATCCAAACTCATTTGATGAAATTAATGGGGCTTTAGTTGGTCCTGACTAATCTAAGAACTATTGTTTTAAATCAATGGTTCCCAGCCTTGGGTCCCCAGATGTCTTTGGATTACAACTCCCAAAACTCTTGGCCAGTGGCGAAGGCTTCTGGGAGTTCTAGTTCAACAACATCTGGGGAACCAGTGTTTTAAGTGATCTACTATAAGCACTACTAAGACTAAATCTAGCCCCTTATTATTTTTTTATTCATGGTAGAACAGAAGCCCAAAGACGTGAGTCATCATATCTGGAAGTTAAGTCATGGCAACTGGACTTCTTTCTTATTAGGTTGAAACATTTTGCTACTCATCCAAGTACAGTGGGGTCTTGACTTGAGAACTTAATCCATATTGGAAGACGGTTCTCAAGTCAAAAAGTCTGTAAGTCAAGCCGTCTGTAAGTCAAGGGTCCACTGTAGCTTCTTCAGTCTGAAGAGAGTTGGTGGGAGACATTTCAACTTAATAAGAAAGAGTCCCAGTTGCCATGATTCAACTTCCAGAGAACCTCACCTGGATGACTGAGAATCCTCACAAGAGTTATCACAGTGGCCTGCCATCCGGGGACCAGCCAGACCTAAACCTGCTTAGCTTCAACACAGGTTGCATCACAGACCTCATAGTTACAGTTCAGGTGCTTTTCTTCAAGGCTCAGCTGCTACAGGAAGATGAGAGGCAACGACTCTCAGAAAACAGAGAAGTCCTCCATCTCCTCTCTTGTTCCTAACCTCTTCCTCACTACCTTCACTGTCTTTTCAATTCTGTTCTAGCTCCAGTGCTGTGGATGGAAATCCTACAAGGACTGGGAGAACAACAGTGTGGTTCGAAATGCTTCGGATCAGAGCTACCCCTGCTCCTGCCGCAATGTGTCTCAGTTTGACCAGTTAGAGGCCAACAACACCGTCAGTGGGGAGCTATCTGGTTTCTGCAGTGCTGAGGGAAAGTGGCCGGTCTACACAGAGGTGAGTAATTTTGGGGGCAGGGGGGAAAGCCAAGGCTATTTTGTGCTCAGAAATAGAGATGGGCACGAACTGGTTTGTCCCACTTCTGAGTTCATAAAGGTGGCAGCACAGGTGCTGCTCCTCCCCTCCCCCTCCCTCCTCAGCTGACCAGCCACTCACCAGGCCCAGCTTGATTGCTTTTTCCACCTCCTTGGTTAATCTCCCAATCATGAGCAAGAGCGCAGACTTCTCTGTCCAGCCCTTTGGTCTGTGTGGGAGATCAGCCAAGAGAATGGAGCAGTGAAGACTGAACTGTTGCCAGGATGGGAAGATCAGCTGAGGAAGTGCAGGAAGCTAGCGTGCTTGGCTTGGTGAGTGTCTGGTCAAGGAAGCTAGTGTGCTTGGCCTGGTGAGTGTCTGGTCGGGCCAGAAGAGGTGGGAGAGGGGAGCGACAGTGCTTGTGCTGCCACCTTTATGAACCTGGGTGAACTGAGATGAACCGGTTCATGCCCATCTCTATTCAGAAGTTTATCCTTGTGCTTGTGCTGCCACCTTTATGAACCTGGGCGAACTGAGATGAACCGGTTCATGCCCCTCTCTATTCAGAAGTTAATCCTTTTAAAAAAGGCATCACAGAAAAAATGAGTGACGAGCAGTTGGTGAGAGCAGTTCATAAAATACTGTGTGGGTTGGAGAAAGTAGATAAAGAGGTGGGGATGTTGTTCTCTCCTCCTATGTTTTGTAATTGGAGGGGAGAAAGGGAACCAATAAGTATCTGGATTTGTTTAGCACTGCCACCATTCTGTATTCCATGGGTATTTAAAAGCATCAATAGTTTCTCTTTGCAACTTTGGGATGGGCGGGCAACTTTCCGAGGTCCAGGAGCTGCATATGCCAAGCCATAAACCTTCAAGGGCTACTTTTGCACCCTTAATTCTTCAAAATAATTGTCTTTATAAATACTTCATTGGAAAAAATGCTGCATAAGTTGGAAGTGAAATGGATTAACAGTTATGTCAAGGCTGACCAAAAGAAACACCTGTACAGTACACAACTGATTTATTGAATCCACTGCCACATGATCTAAGGGTGATTACAGGAGTGGGTGTCTGCCAGGGAAAAAAGGGGAGTTAGATAAGTTCAGGAGGATGTATAACTAAATGGAACTTCCATGCTTGGGAGCAGTCTATCTCTGAATCCCAGAGTATCAGAAGCATGAGTGAGAAGCACAAGTGGTGCAAGCTGTCCCACTGCTTGAAGAGAGGAGCCAGCATGTGAAAACCAGCAACCAGCAGCTCCCATATCCTGTATGGGAGTGGGCAGGGAGACACCACAAGTGCTGTTGTGGGCAGGGAGACATGAAATCTCTTCCTGATATAGGAAGTTGCTGAGGGATCTGTCCCGCAGTGCCAGGGCTCTGAGGGGTCCTGGGAGGCAGACTTTCAGAACATAACAGGGTGTAACTGGAGCTGGTTCTTGGGCTTTTTGCATCTTCTTCCTTCCGGGGTTTGCAGAGAAGGAGGCAAAGGTGCCACCATCTCCAGGAGGGAATGAGGTGCCTTCCTCTTGAAAGCTGTGCAGTTCAGCATAGCAGGCCTGGAAAGCTACCCACAGGAGCAGCTGTCCGTAGTGTGATGGGTCCTTAAGGAGCAGCCAGGGTAGAAGGAGTAGCATATCAAACACCCCTCCCCATCTCTCCTAGAAATTGCCTTTGTAAATCTAATGACAGGGCTAGTCCTGGTGGAGAGGACTGCTTCCATCATACCCTTCTTATGGATGGATTCACTTGCCTACGTTGGGAAGCAAAATGCCAGATTTAATGCCCCCTCCTTTTTTTTTACCCAGCAGGCTTTTTCTTACACGCTGGAAACCCATCAGCGCCACCTTTTAAACTAACTTGACTTGTACAATCTTAGGGCTGCATGGACAGTGTCGAGATGTGGCTTACCAATAACATCATCACCATTGTGGGGATCTGCCTTGGGATTGCACTCCTGGAGGTAAGACTTTTGGGGACCAGCTTGCAAGGTGGAGCAGGTGTGGTGCCATAGATGGTGCTGTGGTTGTGCTTGGAGTTTGGAAGCCCTGCTTTCTTGGGCTGCCGTTCCCAGAATTCCCTAACAAAGAAGGTGATTCTTGGAGTTATAATCCCAAAACGTTGCTTTTGCAAACTTTGGGAAGGCGAATCTAACTGCAAATCAAAGGCTTTTTTTAGTACTAAGCAGCTAGTGGGGAAGTTGTGCCAATCTTGTATCACACGCTGTAGCCAGAGGATGCTGCTGAGTGAGACCCTGGATGGCACCTGTAGTATAGATCTAGTCTTGACTATCAGAGGCTGATGTTTGACACCAGAACTTTATACTACATGTATCTCCATGTTGAGGGTGGTTTGTGACCAGGGCAGGAGGGCACCTCTCCCTCAGTTTTGGAGTGAGCCACCTCCCTGTCTCAGTCCATGAACCACCCCCGTCTATGTGTCTGTGTGTGTAAGAGTAATTGGGTTCACATTCTTCTCTCTTCACCTTAAACCTTTCTTGCAGTTTCTGCAGCTGCTCTGCATGATAGTGATCAGTGCGCTAGAACACAGAGACTTGCACAGTGGTAGCTCCCAGGAAATCCTCTACTTTCCCAACAGGTGGCTCACGGGAGTGCCTTTGTATACATACATAGATGTTCCTTGTTTTTGGGCATGCTTTGCTATGGTAGCCATGTAAATTTGTATCTGCCTGTGCCCTGGGATGAATGTGTTATTCCCCATGGCCTATATGTCCACTGAGTGTGGCCTGTGTCTGGCTCATGAATGCATTAGGTGGTCACCCATTTGTTTCCTGTGACTGTGGCCTGGAGGGGAATCCCGCTGTCGTCCTGAAAAGTCATTACATAATCCTTGTGTATTCACTAGGTGTCTTCTTAGCACAGTTTGCTTCTTCCAAGTAAATTCTGCTTCCATGCTGGAACAGTCTTCCCTAACCCATGTCCTTTGGATAAATTGTACAGTGGTGCCTCGCATTACGACATTAATTCGTTCCAGCGAAATCGCTGTAGAACGAAAACGTCGTAATCCGAAAATAAAAAACCCATTGAAATGCATTGAAACCCCTTCAATGCGTTCCAATGGGCTGGAAACTCACCATCCAGCAAAGATCCTCCATAGGGCGGCCATTTTCGGTGGCTGTCTTGCGAGGAATCCAGTCCAGAAAACAGCGGGGAGCCATTATATTTACCCAGCGGCTATTTTGAAACCGCCGATCAGCTGGAGGAAAAATGGCGTTTAGCGAAGCTGGTCCAGAAAACAGCGGGGAGCCATTTTATTTACCCGGCGGCCATTTTGAAACCACCGATCAGCTGGAGGAAAAACGGCATTTTGCGAAGAATTGGTTCCCAAAGCAGGGAACCGATCATGGCAAAGCGAAAAAAAAAACATTCAGACCACCATTTTGCGATCGCAAAAAGATTGTCGTAATGCGGTTTCGTCATAATGCGGGGCAATCGTAAGGCGAGGCACCACTGTATTATAATTCCCGTCATTCTACCAGCAGAGGCGATTTTACCTTGACAGGAGCAGCAGATTTGGCCTTGCTTGCTTTTCTGGAGCTTATTTTGAAAGACTGCCCTTGGCCCTGTTGCTTTGCTTGATTTTTTAGGAAAAGAAAGCCTACCCCCACGAGCACAGCTGCTGAGTGGAGTTTTGGGATAACAAAGAAACTTGACTAAAAAAGGTTTCGTTTGGGATAAATGACACGGCCAATGTTCTTTCTTTTAAAAAGTAACAAGAGTGGCTGGTACTGTAGTTTCAATTTTTAGTATAGCAAGCAATGTTACTGTTATAAAATATGGGGCTTTGAGGGTCATTTGTCTAATTTCTGGCCCTTCTTCTATTGCTAAGTACCACTGGACTTAATTGTCAAGGGGAACCTTTACTTTTTATAGCTTTCTAAACATAGTAATAAAATAATGCAAGTATAACAAGTTAATAATACATTACTAATATTTCAAACTGCATAGTGGGGTGATACCTTGGTGGTGGTGATGATATGCTGTTAAGTGGACTTGATGCTGCTGCTGCTTTTGCTGATGATGATAATCATAATCATAATCATAATAATATGAGGGGTGTTTTTAGGTATAAAGTACTCAGAACTAGTCCACCACTCCCTCTCATTTGGGTTGGGCATCTTGCCCCAGACCACACAAGGAGTAGAGCCCCTAGTCCTATGAGTCACCCACATATGCCAGGTGCTCTTAACTGGCCCTTCTCCCAGGAGCTACAGTGAGGATTCAGGCTCTCCAGCCCCTGGCTCTGTCAGCAGGTCCTTCAAGTTGCTCAGCTCTACCAGCACAAGGCTGGAAATCGGGCGAAGACTGAGGTGAAGTTCTTCTTGTCTGATAGTTGTTCCAACATGTGATGGAAGAGCAGACAAAAGAATAAGTCTCATCACATGTTGCAGTGTTTAACCTGGCTTGTCATAGCCTCAATGAGCACTCGAAAGTTAGAAACTTTGGGTCTTCCATCTTAAACAATTTACACATGGACGCAACTCAAAACTGCATCTATAAAGTCTGAAGTTTTTGCTGATGGAAAAAAGTGTGCTGCTTATATACCGCCTCCTAACGCTTAAAGCACTCTTTGGGTGGTTTACAGGCTACCCGTTTAAACCCCCGCCCCCCGAGAAAGCTGGGTACTGGAAAAGGGAGTCAGCCCAACAGTGTTTTCATTTGCGAAGGCTTTCACGGCTGGGATCTGATGGTTGTTGTGGGTTTTTCGGGCTCTTTGGCTGTGTTCTGAAGGTTGTTCTTCCTAACGTTTCACCAGTCTCTGTGGCCGGCATCTTCAGAGGACAGCATGATCCAGAGCACAGAGACTGGCGAAACGTTAGGAAGAACAATCTTCAGAACACGGCCAAAGAGCCCAAAAAACCCACAACAACCATTAGTGTTTTCATTGTCCATAACGGAGTTAATTACAAATTATGGTTTAGGCTAAGGAAGTCCCTGTAGTCAAATTGTGTTGCTTTACCTGTTTGGTTTCACAATGCACAGTCTTCATTAGTTACACAGCTAAATTAGGTGTGCAGAAAGTCATAGACAGAAATACCAGCAGCCATGTTAGCATAAAATAAAGTCCAGGCTAACATTATCAAAGTAAACTAAAATTCTGTTACTAATGTCAGCATTATTTGCACAATAAACAAAGGGCCGCTTTTATCATCCAGTGCATTACTTTAAGAATAATAACATTCCAAGCTGTGCTGCTAAGATAGCTGTCAGTTGCTAACCCTGAATGCCTGGCAGATGACCAAGGTTTGGGATTATTATGTGAGGAAGCCCAGGGTTGCCTGCATTACATTGATTGGGATGTGGGCATAATAGAGAAACAAGCCTGGAAATCTGAATCATCCTGGCATATGGAAGGTCTGTGTAGCAGCATGGCTTCTCAACATGGTTTAAACAGGAGAGGCTTACATTGTCCTCTTTTATTTCCTGGATGATGACTGCTGCGCATCCAAGTTGGGTGCAGGGGCTATGCCCCTGCTGTTCTCGTTATCTTTACTAGCGCTTCCAGCTAGGAACAACGGATACCCTATCCCTTCATGCACAGTGAGCTGATGTGGCGTCGTAACTGCAGTCATTAGACTAGGACTTGGGGGACCTGGGTTCAAACCACCACTTGGCCATAAAACTTGTAGGGTGGCTTTGGAGCAGTCACAGTCTATTAGCCTGACTAAATAAATAATAATAAAATAAATGACCATATATGACTGAACTTGAGCTCACTGGAGAATAGAAATATAATAAATAGACAGTAAATAAATAGTTTCTCTGAGCTATGTAGCCGACACAGGTCTAGTAAGGGCACAGAACAGACCGTTGTGCCAGCGGTGGGTGTGCGGGAGGCCTTTTTGCTACAATTCCCTCCTGGATTTAATTGTCCCTTCTGGGCTTCTCAAGCACCTGGTCGATACCTTGTTGTTAATGATTCCTGTTCTGAGAGCAGCTATGGAGTGTTTGCATGCTTTTGTGTGTTTGCCTGCTAGTGCTGTGTGTAATGGTGGTTGTGTTGTGGTTCTCAGTGTGCACCAGATGTGTGTTTAGGCATGTACGTGACAGAGCTCAGAAACGTTACTCTTTCGGTAACTCCCTAGAATTCCTTAGCTACCCTGGTTGGGCCAGGATAGTCCAAAAAAATCTTAATTTTTCCAATTACTGATCTGTGGGCTCTTTTTTGTTTTTTTGATTGGCTACCTAAAGCAATGCAAACTAGTTACCCACCAGAGCTGGCACATGCATGTCTTTCTTGTTCTTCTCACTCTTAATACTCCCACATCTCTGCCCACTAAATCTCTCTCATACACCCGGCCTTAAAATCCTGTTTTTTGTTCGTTTTATCCTTTCACTATGTGCGGCACAGAGACTTCTACCTGGAGTATTGGCAAGGTAATGACTCCAGACAAAGTGGAAGAGCTCAGCTTTCCAGCAGCTGCAAATCTGTCTGTCATTATTCGCACCTTCTCTTTCCTCCCACTATCCCCCTTTCCTCCTTGGAGGTAAATGGCTTGTTTCTGTCCTGTGTGATACTTCGTGGGGGAAAAAAGTTTTGGCGTGCCCAAGGAGTGAGACGAGGAAGTGTAAAGAGCACCTGAATTCAGGATCTAAATGTATCACAGTAATCTGAGCAGCAGACAGGGAGACAAGAGAGAGAAAGAGTACAAGAAAGAGCAATAAGGAACTTAAAATACTTAACATGCAACAAGAAAGTTCAATTGAATGGGTATTTCGTGAGAAATGGGGTGATCATAACCCTTGAAATATGTACTGACAACACTCCTCCTCCCTCTGTGAGATAAACTATGCCATTCTGATCTCGGTTGTGTCCAGACAAACTACAACTCCCATCAGTCACAGTGGTCAGAGATAAGGGCAGTTGATGTCAGCATACCTGATTATGGAAGCTAAGGATGGTCAGGATTGGTCAGTACTTGGATAGGAGACCACCTAGGAATGCTAGGGACTGGCAGGTGGGGTGGAGAAAAGCATGTTACCCCAAACCCCAAGCTGCCAGTCATGGACAATGGGGGGTTAAATCAATAAAGGGTCTGACTCAATATCAGGCATATTTCTATGTGATGGAACAGATTTGGAGTTTGGAACCATTTGGTGAGTACCAAGCAGGGTGGATTAAAATCAATGATTTTAAAAAATATTTTTAGTGGATTAAAATCAATGATTTAAAAAAAATATTTTTTAAAATCTGATCTTTTTCAATTTAATTAGGATTTTTTAAAATTAAAATCAAATTTATTTTAATCAAATGCTTTTGGAAGAAAAATCTATCTAAAGATAGTTTTCTATGTAAGTCACATTGTAGTTCAAAGCTTATTCAGCATGAATTAGTAATTAGTTATGTAACATAAAGCTGTACATTCATGCAATACTTACATTTTTGGTAAACTAATTCATCAATCCAAATTATCTGAGATAACATGCACTTTTTCACAGTAAAAATAGTATAAAATGAACAAAGTTCAGGAAAAGACCTTAATCCCATTGTTTGTTTGTTCTGCAAATCTATATACAATGAACATATTGATGTTTAAGTAAGTACAAGAATATGTACGCTTTATAATGTTACTGTTTTAGGTAAATAAAACAATTTCAGTAGTTCTCCAAATATGAGTCATTAACCTATTAAACAAAAATCTTTTCTGAAACAGCTGTTTAAATGTGAAATCTTCATCTGGTTGCAAATATTAAAGATAACTACCAGCAAGAATGAGTCTTTACATTTAAAAATCATGATTTAATTTGAATCTTACTGATTTAAATCAACTTGATTTTCAGAATCCACCCTGGTACCAAGTTATGGAAGGTTGTCTTAAAAGACAGAAATCAAGGCGCAGACCCTGCAACTTGTCCAGATATCAGGGCTGTTGTCTGGAGCAAATTATCAAGTTTGTTTCATTTTTCATTCCTTTCCTAAATGATCCCCACATGTCAGGCAGCAACACAATCTCTCATTTTAACACACTTTCTCTCTTCCCACAGCTCTGCCTCATGATGCTGTCGATGTTTCTGTGTAGGACAATTGATCCCGACTATTACAAGCTCAGTCGCTATTCCTAGGAGGTGAATCAACACTGCCCAGAGTTGGAAATCATTCCTTCCAATTCAACCATACCACTTCATGGGGTTAAACCAGGGTTTGCCTGGTGCCTTGGTGGGTGGGGCGGGCGGGGATTCTTTGCCTGGTCTTTGTGCTATTTTCTACCCTAATTGGCAAGCAAATCTAAACCTTCAGGAGTTGCTGTCACTGCTAGAAACAAAAAAGTGCTCTATCTAGTCCAGAACAGTGTTTAGCTTCATACAGCTAAAGGGATTATTTTGCCCTTAAATCACTTTTCAGAGCCATACAAATGCGCTGTCTTTTGCCATTGTGCAGCAAATACCCAAAGTAAATTGTCACAGCTGCATTTTCATACCTCCTGAATGCTTAGATCCTAATGACCAAAACTGGAGACTGCATAAAGAAAACTATGTGACAGGCAGTAATCCACCCACTCATGATTCATGATTTTGATTGATTTCCAAAGTTAACCTGGAAACCAAATCTGTTTTCCAACTTTTTAAACGTAAGTTACCTGTTTATTAAAGATCCCATAAACATCTTTCTTTCTTTCTTGGAGTTAAGGCTAGAAATCTTGCTCCTATTGGCACCAAAACATGACATGATTATGTAAACTTGAAAATTGGTTGTATACAAAGCTAATTCTGGAGGTGGAATAAAAGAATAGCGACAACCTGGCTATCATAAGCACATTTTCTGAGCCATGGTTTTTAGACTGCTTTTGGAGATGTGCCTTGTTTCAGTATGGCATTAGGGGTGCCAAGGAAGTTTATGTGACAGTTCTCAATGTGTCTAGATCATAGATACAGAAAGGTACTCTTTGTGGATTACAGCTTCCAGAATCTGCTAGAATTAAAACGGGCTGAGAATTTTGGGAGTTGCGGTCTCAAGTATTTTTACAAGTTATCGTCTGGATCTGGGGCTTGTATATTCTGTGACATACTTGTAAACCACTTAAGTGTTTGACTTGTATTGCAATCAAGATGTGACTGGCAGGTGCTTTATATAAGAGGACTGGGTTCTCCCCCCCTCCCCCCCGGTGTTACAGCCCACAAATTTTGCTCCATCACTAACCTAATGCTTTGAACTGCTAGCTTTTATGCCATCAGTTTGAACATGCTCATCTCATGGTGACAGCAGCTTTATGTACACAAGAATTCCTATGCTGGTGTCTTTCCATCCTCTTCAGATGCAAGACTGGATATGATGCATAAAATTCTCTAGTATCTGTGTATGGGAGCATTAACTGATCTGTGTTTGCATAGCATACATATTGATGCTGCTCCTCCAGGGGCTGGATAATGCTACACAATTTCACCTACACAGCATTTCAAAAAGCTACTCTTTCCCCAGTGGGAGTTCCCAGAATCTAGCCAGTGCTGCCGTATAAAAGTTGTATTTCATAGACAGGGTGACCAACTGTTCGTCTTTACTTTGTGTTCTGTCTCGCATGTTTACTCCCATACTGAGAAACTTACTTCTAACTTTTGCTGTATGTTTGTATTTATGTATATATTCCAACTGAATGTTTGACACAGTACAATTCTGTAGGAAATAATGTCAAGATGAGGATGTGGGTGGAATGAGGTGCATATCAGCTTCACCTCTCCTCAACTTGCTGTCTTTTCTTCGTAAGTATTAAGGGAATTTTTGTATCCTCCCATTTTGTAAATAAAGATATAGATCCATAAGCAGCCCTCTTTCTTTCTTTGGGATGTGACAAAAATTGACAGGATGAATACTAGAAAAACACTTGAATACATTTGGAAATCGGGAATCCTGGTTTTCCCAGAGCTAGCTGGCCTGCTGACTTCCACTGCCGTCTCCTTCTACCGGCAGCAGAAGCCAAACATATGTCAAAATTTGACCTCTAATCTTGGCATAAGGTGAGGCTTGTTTCTCTCCTCTGAAGATAGAAGAGTGAATCCAGGATTGTTTGGGGCAAGATTCTCTGGCTTTCTTGAGGGAGGGGGAAGACAAGCCAGACTGCCAGCTGATGATATATAAACCATAGACCAAAGAACAGGTGATGGCATCTGGAGACCACAAATACATTGGTTTGCCCCCAGCATGCCAGAATTCAGTAGCCATACTGCTTTACTTTAACGTGGAAACTGTAGGACTGATTATGACAGGATAAAGCTCACCAAGAATTCAGCCAATCAGAATACAGGGTGTAATTCTTAGCCACACTCCTATCTACAGCTGCTGTCTCCTGATTGGCTGTCTTTTGAGTCATAAACGGATACTCTGAGAAATAACAGAAAGGCTTCCAGGAGGCCACATCACAGCAGACTCCAAGGAGCTGGTACTTTGGCTAAAGCTGGCTGGTGGTAGCAGTTGCACCGAGAACAGCACTCTTATATAACAATTCCTTCTTCATTGTGCAGAGTGGGGCTGTTTCACAATTGGTAAGCACTAGAGCATCTTTTGACTTTTTCTTCTTAGATTCATTGACTGTTGTGACCGGGCAATGTTCTTTTCAAGTTCAAAACCAATTATGCAGCATATTTTTCTCCTGATTTCTCCATCCTGAATAACTAGTTCTGTATGAATAATCATGTGCCTAGAGCAGGTTCAGAGCATCTTCATTTAATGTATTCCAGTGCAAGGCCATCTTGAGGTGGCCAAGGTGACCCATTATTGCTACCATCCCACTTTGCACAAAATATCCAAAAAGTACAGGTACAATGTAAGAATTTCCAGTTTGTATATCCCACATTTCTATTGGTTCCCCATCCCCACCGCCTTTGGAGCAGCCACTTCAGAATACTGTGTAAGGGCCCTTCAGCCCTGGAGCCAGCCCTATTCTAGTGATTAACTAAAGAGAGAAGGGGGGAGTCTCAAAACCTTTTCATTAATTTGGTGTGAAGCCAGATACAACATCCATATTATGTCAAAATAAACTATGCAAGATCACATCACTTTCACCTTTGCTCTTTCCCATCAAGGTGGAGACACGTTGTGAATGTCACAGGGTAGAGGATGATATACAGTGGTGCCTCGCTTTACGATCGCTTCGTTTAACGACAAAATCACATAACGATGAACTTTTTGCGATCGCAAGACGATGTTTCCTATGGGGGAATTTTGCTTTGCGATGATCGGTTCCCTGCTTCAGGAACTGATTCTTCGCAAAACCACGATTTTCCAACAGCTGATCGGCGGTTTCAAAATATTTCTCTTGGTTCCCCATCCCCACTGCCTTTGGAGCAGCCCAAGGGCGCTTCAGCCCTAGAACCAGCCCTATTCTGGTTATTAACTAAAGAGAGAAGGGGGGTGTCTCAAAACCTTTTCATTAATTTGTTGTGAAGCCAGATACAACATCCATATGTCAAAATAAACTATGTAAGATCACATCACCTTCACCTTTGCTCTTTCCCATCAAGGTGGAGACACGTTGTGAATGTCACAGGGTAGAGGATGATATACTAAGGAAGTACACAAGAGTACGAATGAATATTATTCACACCGCAGTTTGCAACAAAACGCGTAATGCGAGGCACCACTGTACTAAGAAAGTACACAAGAGTATGAATGAATCTTATTCACACCGCAATTTGCAACAAAACACATCTTCCACTTTGTTTCATGTGAAATTAGGTCTATACCCTTGAGCAGTAGAAGATAGCAGAAGGGATTTTTATTTCCTGACATATATATCCTGGCAAATATAGGGAATAAGATGTGAAAAATTAATTTTTACTGCTACATTTTAAACTTTCTATAAGCAGTATATAGACGCTCCTTTCTCTGGGTTTGCTGATGTGTACGTAGTTTTTTATGGCTAAGCATAATGAATCATGCACTAGCACTCATTAGAGCAGGGGTCAGGGAATGTTTTTACCTTTTACCCTCCAAAAAATGTATATACGCCGACATTACCCCCCTGATTTGAAAGGAAGGATCTCAGTTGTGCACAGCCATTCGAGTGCCACCACCGAAACCTCACTGCCTGTACCTGGGTGGCTGCCTCCTCCTCCTGGTGGAGCCATGCTGGCATGGAGGTGGCACCAAAGAAAGCTGCGCAGTCAGGTGAGCGCCGCTCCTGCCCAATGGGCTCCTCCAAGAATGGGGACAGGGTGTGGGGCAGCAGTGGCATCATGGCGCCGGGAGGCTGAGTCTGGCCTGGGCCGCCGCTGTGGCCATGCCCGCCCCCTTCTGCTGTGATCCACCTCTCCAGGGACTGGAAGGAGAGGCTCCTCCTGGCCGGGGCACTCTGGCTGCTCGCCCTCGCCCTCCACCATGGCTGCCCCACGCTGCCGGCTGGGGCCCATCACCATCCACCATTTGCCGTGGCTCGGTTGCATCCCGGTCAGAGAAGGGGGTAGGAAGGGGGTGATCGGGCAGCCAGGGACCCCTCCCTCCAGGCAGGAGGAAATTTTTATTTCCTGACATATATATCCTGGCAGATATAGGGAATAACATGTGAAAAATTTATTTTTATTGCTACATTTTAAACTTTCTGTAAGCAGAATATAGACTCCTTTCTCTGGGTTTGCTGATGTGTACGTAGTTTTTTATGACTGAGCATAATGAATCATGCATTAGCACTCATTAGAGGTATGGTATGCTCTGCTCTTAATTTTGTCACCTCATTATGCCTCATGTCGATAAAGGCCTGAGTTTCAGGCATTACTGATATGAGGCATTTACGAGGTGAGGCAATGTGCTCCTGCAACATGAACATTGCTACCAATGGTGGGCTTAGTATGCAAAATGTGGGGTGGGAAAATATGTGGCCTTCTCAGTATTGCTGGACTGCAATTCTGACTGCCCACCCCTGCGTTGAACTGTTTTCTGAGTAGCACCACCTCAAGTTGCAGGGGGCCAGACATGACTGGATATACCTTCATACCCAAACCATAAAAATAAGACACACAAAAAGGTCGGTCTCTTTTCTTTTTTAAAATGGAGGAGCCATCAAATATATGAATCCTCATCTGCAAGCTGACGGGACACAATCCATCCCAAACTGTACTGCTGCCTGATCTGTCAGAGAGAGTTTAAGTATCAAGTACTTCAAGTTTTGGCCGTTTTAGGAGCCAGGAGTGTGAGGAAATGTCATTAATTTTGTTACAGTGGAGTGTTAAAATCCCAGACACTCAACCCTGAGGGGTAACTTCTTAAGACAAGTCTCTGAAACAGGGTAGAGGTTAACTGCTCTTTCACCGCAGTTGACAGGAGATGGCTGACTGAAAGAGGAGCATTCTCATAAGTTATGACGGCTCATGGAGTCCATGGTGACTACTGTGTTGCCATGGTAGCAAGGTCATCCACTGAATCATGGCAGTTGTTGCAAGCTGGAGCCTAGAGCCTCTCTGGGTGTGTCCCCGGTTTCCAGGAGATGGAACAAATAATCACCATACCAGGCTCAGCAGTTGTCATGGCAGTTGATCCATTACTTGAGAGAGGTTGTAGTCCATGGAGCAGAAAAGATGAGGATGTCCGGCTTGGTTTTGAGGGTGGTGGCAAGTTAAAAAATGTTCATTAGTCCCGGCCCAGCCGGTAGATGTGGTGTTGTGCCCCCCGCTCACTGGCAGACACTTCAAATACAAACGCCACACATAGTAGTAACTCCTCAGTTTCTTGATCCCGCAAAACCTGTGGAGTGGGTACATTTTATGTCAACATTTGGTTGTGAAGTAAACCAACCCATTTCCTCGAGTGCATACCTTTATATAAACATTTCCATGATGAATCTACTGCAATCGAGCTAGTAATTTCAAAACTCCCAGGTCTCTGCACTAACCCCCATGTGTCTGTTCATGTAGCCACCAGTTACTAACTAAAGCATGACATGGCAGCATTTCTACTTTTGCTTCCTCATCAGGCTTCTTACCCGTCTCATAGCTGGATCATTCATTACTGCATTCTAGTATTTAACAAGCAGTTGTCATAGGCAGATTTAACATGCTAAAATATAAGAAAATATAGTTTCAAATACTATATTCTTAGATAGCGCACATCTGGATCACAGAAAGCACTGTCTTACAAGAGGCGTCCTCGCTTTGCCTTGCCTGCAATGCAGGTTGCCACTGGCACCTTTTACAACTACTTGTACTGAAACTAATATTAATGGCTTTAGATCATCCCAATTAAGCCACAGACACTTTTTTATTTAAGCCAACTGCTTAACTGATTAAGCTAGCTGGTTAACTAATTGAAATGTTGCAGAGTTAATTTTCATAGCTGTCTTGAATTTCTATAAGGAAGGGCAGGACAGACGCTTGTTTACTAATTGAAATGTTGCAGAGTTAATTTTCATAGTTGTCTTGAATGTCTATAAGGAAGGGCAGGGCAGACATTTATGTAATAATAATTACATTGACAATAGTGATTAAGACAACCGCTCCAATTTGTTCTGGGGGGAAGAAAGGAGTATACAACCCTGACATTAGCCATTGAAACAGCTGTCAATCTGGGATGCTGTCCAGATGTTCTGAACTTGAATGGTCATCAGTGCCAGCAAATATGTCCAAATGCTTAGCAATTCTGGAAGCTGTCTTCTAAAACATCTGAAGGGCACCCAGTTGAGGAACGCTACACTAAAAGCAGACAGGGGAAGAACTCCTAGGATTGACTCATTGTTCACTGTGTTGCCAGAGAAGGAGCAGCAGTGGCCACCGCTTGCTTCAAATGCTATTACCCCACTCCTGCAGGCAGCAGTTGTAATCTACCTAAAAAATTTAAGACAGGCAAAAATGTTGATGGGTAAAGCATGGAGCCTCACAAGCATCTGATCAACACATTTCAGCCCTGTATTGCCTGCAGTGGTTTTGGGTAGAAGGGACTGTTACTAATCTTAAATATTTTATTTTAATTGTTGTAAGCTGTCGGGTTCTTTTTAAGGAGAAAAGAAGGTAGGCAGGTAAATAAATAAAGCCCTACTGCCAGCCTTTAAAGGCCTCTAGTATTACATTCACTCATTAGGAGAGTAACTGGTCTATCGGCATTCAGTGGAGACTTCATTGTTTTCCAGGATTTGTTAAAGAAACCTTCCCTTTTCATAGGCCTATCTGCAAATTGGAAATACTATCTTTTTGGACTACAGCTCTCAGAATTCCATAGCTGGTGTGGGCAGAGCAAGTTTCCTCTTCTGAAATGATGCAGTACTTTATAGCATCATTATTTAATTAGTGTGATGATGAAGGTTTATTCATTTATCCTAAAATGTGGGGAGCTGAAGTGGGACGTCCCGGCTGAACAGGGCTGGGGAGCCTTGTTGCACTCCGAAGACTTAAACAAAGATACCTTACAGTGCCCCCAATCCTGTTAAGGAGTGCAGATACCGTTTATACAGAAAAGAGATTATAGCACAGGAACCCAAGGAAGGGGACTCGAGTCGTGGGACTCAGACTTAAAAGTTGCACCAGCAACTTGACTTGGCTTTCTTTTCTTCAATGGCATGGACTTGTGACTTGGAACCTACCCACCCCTCCATTTTTTCTAGGGGACAAAACTTTTTAATAGGGACTCAGGACTTGGTACCAAAGACTCGGAATTGGGACTCAGTGTCAAAGACTTGGACTCGGATCTCAAGGACAGACCCAAGGACAGACCCAACATCCCAGCAGCAACTTGCTTTGCTTCTCTCCCTGCTCCCCTAGAGAACCTACTCTTGGGGTCTACAGTGTTTTCTTCCTCGCAAATACCTGCAGGATGGTGAAGTTTTCAAGCACGCTGTCCATCATGGGTTTCTCTGGCAGCGTTCGCAGTTTGCGGATAAAATTGATGAGGTACTCGCAGAGGGGTGAGCGTTGCAATTGGAAGACAAAGTGCCCATCTTCCCAATGGGGAGGCTCAGCTGTCTGGAGTTGGGTGGGTGAAATGGAATAGTTAACGACAAAGCAAGTCCTGGAGACAGAAGCCTGATCTTATGCTTCAAGGACGCCCATCTCCTTAGCCCATGGAAGAAAATACCACCTTCTCATCAAACTCAAGGACCCTCTCCTAAGAGTACAAGCCGCACAATTCAAAGAAAAGAAAACTGTTTCAAGAGCACATCCCCACAGAAAGTAAAATAACATTTTTCTCCCCATTCCAACTATATTTCTTTTTTGATCGGGATGTAGAATACAGCACGGCTTTACAACTTTGAGTTGCAGTCTATAATGCCAAAGCCTTTGTTGCTGGCGGCTTAACACACTGAAAGGACATTTCCTACATTATCCTAAAACCCAATTAACTTTTTAAAAAAACACAACACCTCAAGGGGTCTACACATACAACAAAATGAGGTTTTGGGCTGCAGGGAAGATAACGCTTCTTCTTAATACTCTACACAAGTAGGGGAAACCCTCTTTCTGGCTGCAGGTAGAAGACAAACTTAACCCATGAAGGAGGAAGGTTAGTCTCACCTCACTGTACTAGATTTCTACATGCATACGTTCTACATTGTGTTTTTTTCAACACAAAAAAGGCACAGGCTTTTTACCTCTTCTAATACTCAGTGCTACAGCTGTAGAGTCTACTGTAAGGGAGAGGAATGTGTGGCCCCTAAGATGTTGCTGAACTACAACTCCCACCCATCATAACCAGCAGAAACAACAACCAAAAATGTTGGAAATTGCAGACCAACAATACCTGGTGGGCCACACACCCCCACACACTGCCATTCTACCAATCTCAACCTCCTAGAGATATAGATTAAGCCTAAACATCTAAAAATCAGTGAGTGATCTTTGACCCAAACAACCCTTCCTCAACTAAACCCCAAAGAGCTCAACAACTAAGGTGTTGTTACTTGGTGGAAGGGGATGAATATTGTTATACCGTTCCTGCACCCCAATGCTGAGTTTCAGCAACAAAATCTTGAGTTTCAGTAAGTCCCATAATCTATTTCTTATAAAATGGTGGCTACACATTCTGAACCAAGAGCCTGGCTACACTATTCTATGTGCTGTGAGAAAGGTAGCCATGCAAAGTCAGGCTGTACCTGTTGAACATTCAGAACAACAACAACTTGAGAAAGAGAGGACGGTGGGGGGGAGGATTGATAGACCTTGGCAACCTTACCATGGAGTACTTCTGGAACTTGTAGTCCAAAACAAAACGTTACCAAGCTCTCATCACAGCTACATGCACAGAGAAGCAGAAGTCACTGACCAGCTTTCTCCTCCTGATTTCCATTTCCTAACAGCTAATTTACCCTAAGAGGCGGGAAGAAGGTGGGAATGTTAGCCAAAGAGTAGAAGGAGAAAGATGGCCAGAGGTTCCTGTGTCTCAGTATGTTTCCCTACCATCCTCTTCTGTCTTCTCTCTTGTTTTCTATCAGGAGAACCTTCAGTTATTGCCACGACAAAGTCAGTGCAACAGATTCTAGACTAGATAGACTAGTAACCTCTTCAGGGTATAAGACAGCTGCCTGTTTTCCTATATATGGTCACTCATCCATGTTTCTCTAGCCCAAAAGTGGGGAAACGTTGAACCTCCCAGATCTGCTGAACTTCAACTCTCAAAAGGCCCAGCCAGCATAACAGTAAGAAATGTAAGAGAATTGAAGTCCAAAAATTCTGCAAGGCATAAGGTTGCCCACTCTTGTTTTGAGCCCTCTCAACCCACCCCGCTCTACCTTTCCAACCCAGCACGGCCGCCTACGAGCCCTTCAGCCCCATGGTTCCCTCCTCCCTCTGCCGCACCCACCTCCAGTTTTTCCACCACCTGTTTGCCAAACGAGCAGACCTTGGAGGTGCAACTGAGAGTCAAAGCCCGTGGGCCCTCATATCGGCTGCTCACCCCATAGAAGGCCCCTCCTATGCCCCCTGGTTCTTCTTCAGGGAGGGGAAAGCTCAGATCAGCCTAGGGCACAGGAAGAGGAGAAAAAGGAGAGAGAAATGGTACATTTCTAAAAAAACAAACAAACCAAAACTCTGAAAAATATCCCCTCTACTTTCCAAGATGAGGATAAAGCTATCAACAGAACTTTGCCACTGAGCAGAAACAATACGTTTGTAAATGCCAGCTTCTGGAGACAAAGAGCAAAGCAAGGAGTGGGCATTACCAGTATTTCCAGAGCCTTGGGGGGGGGGTGTTTGTAACTCCCAGAATCCCACAGGCAAGTTTAGCCATTTGGTGGAGGATGCTGGAAGTTGCAACCCCAAAAGGTAACTTTTCCCAAGCTCTGATCATTTCTGATTTTCCCAGAATGCTGGAAACCTTTTAATTCATCAAGGTGCTTCCTCTGTTACGAGAGTTAACTTACTTTATGCTTTATTTGGAAGTGTCTTAGGGTGCATTTTCAAATAAGCTCTTTCTAAAAATCCTGAACACAGCCGATACTGATTCTTAGCTTTCTAACAGTGTTACTTTACATTTGAGATTATAGGCATTTGAGTTTATATATATTATTTATTACATACAGTTAATATATATTATTAGAAAAAAATATACTGGGATGCAGTATCAAGGACATGGGCATGATTAGCTAACACATTATGCAAATATATTTTTATGCTTTTGATTGCACTGTGTGTTTGTATTTTATTTTTTTTTGCAAATGTATTTTTATGCTTTTGATTGCACTGTGTTGTTTTTTTTTAAATTTCCTGTTGTGTTAAATTATATTTTAATTATATTGTGTTTGTTGTAAACTGCCCAGAGCAGTCTTTAGCCAGATGGGCAACATGCATAAAACAAACAAACAAATAACATCTTACACAGGAAAACTACAAACTGCAGCATTTTTATTCAGGCGGTGCTGTCCCTGACCCCGCTTCTGCAAAGTGGTCCAGGAACAGCTTTCGAGCAATCTTAGGAGTAAAACCACACATTTTCTTGGCAATTGTTTTGTGGGATAGGATTCCCTTAACTCTCATTTTACAGTTGTGTGGAAGTGAAGCTGCAAAGCAGAAGACAGCCACTATCCACAGGAGGTAAGATAGCTGAACCTGGGGGTCCAGGAGTTCAGTTTTCAAAATAAAACCAGCGAGTAAACACATGTCTGGGAAATCTGGCACGAGAGCTTTCAGAACAGAATCACATTTATCTGCTCTGAATGTCCAAATCAGTTGCTCCATCTCAGCAGGCTGAGCAGGTAGATACATACCTGCTGCAATCCCAACCTTCTCTTGCTTAAAAGTTTCTCTTTGTAATGAATTATACCTGGGAATCAGGAAAGCAGAGGGATCATGGCCTAGAAGAGGGGAGGAATTCTCACCCAGAACTTGACCAAGAAGAAGGCATGGGAAGGTCCTTGGTCATACAGATCTCGCAGTCCACCTCCCCGCTCTGGAAACTTGTCGTAGATTTGGCGAACGTCTACCACCTCCAAGGGCGAGTCGGAGGTGGGTGTCGGGTCGATGTGCACAAAACGGTGTTGCTGCTTACACTGTGGGGAGGAGAGATGGGAAAAGTCAATGCATCCCAAAACCCACATACTCACCCCTAACAACTCCAAGATTATGCAGACTGATGGTTTGAATGTTCAGTTAATGGACCGACTGGAACACTCAGATTATTTATACACCCTAAGAAGCCCTTTGCAGCAGTAATCCTTCCAGTACCCTGTAGCGTAACCAAGCATGATCCCCAAGTAACAGAAGAGGGCTGACAAATTGGCACTTAAAGTCCCTTAGTAAGTTAAGGGAAGAGTGCAGATTATTTTAGCGGCAGCTCATACAGATTGAGGAATTCTGACAGATGCAGGGCAAAAAATCAACTCTTCCTAGCTCTGGGTCAGGCTTAAAGTGATCTTTCAGTTCTCAGAGGCCCCTGTTGGACATAATACCACACTTTCCCAAGTATGACTTAGAGATGGTGACCAGTCAGCATTTTAACCTTGGATTTTACCTTTCCTGCATTCAGTTTTGTTACATCAGTCACTCAATACCTTTTTTGGTTTGATCACATTGGATCCTAGGGATGGAGAAACCTTTACACCCTTGAAATATTTCTGAACATCACTTGCCCCATATGGCCAAGCCAATGTGGCCAATGGTAAAGGATTATAAGAATTATAGTTCAAAACAATTGGACAGCCAGAGATTCCCCAAGCCCTGCTGTCCTTTCTCTAAAGATCTCCAGATGGCAAAAACAGGATAACTCCATTTTATCCTCTTAAGAATTTTGTAGGAGAAATTACACAGCATGATTGTTAAGACTGGCCAAAATCTGGCTACCGACCTTCATCACCAACAGAGACTTTAAACCAAGTCTTTAAAGGCAGTCAAAGCTGCTCATAGTCTCTGAAAGCTCCCATCATCCTCTACTACTAGCTGTGTTGGCTGGGCTAATGGGACTTGTCACCCACAATATCTAGAGTGCACCACTTCTCCTCCACGGTGCTGACTCCCATCTTCTCTTAACTTTTACAAACCTCACTGCTTTCATTTATAATAGTGGTTCTCAACATTGAGCAACCCAGGTGTTCTTGGGTTGCAATTATCAGAATCCTTCACCACTAACTGTGCTGGCTGAGGTTTCTGGGAGATGTAGTCCAAGAACACTTTGGGTTGCCCAAGGTTGAAAAACACTGATTTATACAGATGGCTAGAGATAGGGAGCCTACACACAGGCCAGAGTGTTTCTTCACACACTCATCTCGCTGCACCTTGCATACTCATCTCACCGCATCTTGTTCACCCTGCTGCTCCACAAAAGCAGTGAACTCCACCAGTCGAAGTGTTTCCGTACCAATGTAGCTTCCCTGCCAGGAGGTAGTAGTGGGGAGACGGGATAGTCTGCCCAGGGGCGGGTGGTAACCTGTCAAACCAAAACAGGACATGTTGAGGCCGACCTGAACACTTTGTCCAGCAGAGCCACAAGTTTAAATGAAAGTTAGTACAATGGCTTACCTGGGGCAGCAGGGGGCGCTGGGATTGGCAGGATAGGATAAGGTGGCTGCTGGATGATGGGCTTGACACTAAAGGGAAAAGGATGAACAGTGGAATCAAGGTACTCCTCTTCAACAGAGGGTGGTGGAAAGATGTAAATGGTTGTATGATAGTTCAAGAAGAACCAGGCAAATGATGTTCCCAAGGGAGGAGGAATAGCAAGGGCAATAGAGAGGATGCTGTTTCCTAGGGCAGGATTGCAGGCGGATGGGACAGCCATAGGCAGCAGACACTTACTCTGGACTGGCTCGGGGCTGGTTTGCATCCCCTGCCCAGAACTGGAAGAACTCTGCAGACTATAAGAGCAAGAAGGATAAATTAGGTATTACTAGGTAAAATTTATTTTCATTGCTTATTTAAATTAGGACTACAACGCTGCAGCAATCAATTTAATCCTGTAAAGTAAACTAATTTTTAAAAATTTCAATAGATTGAATTAAACAATACCACTGTTTACAAAATCTAGAGACTGCAAAAATTATCTTAGGAAAAATGCTTCATCCTCCTCCTCAGCAGCAGCAGGAGGGAAATGCCTCTTCATATGTTACTCAGGCATACATGAATTCATCTAAACGTTATGGCCAAGGATATTGCTGCAGAAACGGGCACATGCCAAGGGGTACCACAAGGATTCCCCACTTCCGGCAGACGGCCCTTTAGCTGACTACTTACACAAACCCAATTTCACGCACCCCATTTTGCCACTAGTACCCCGCCACTTAGTTGCTTGAGCTGTCAGAGGACAGCATGACTACATTTCTCCAAGGGGATTCTGCCCCAAAGAATGCATGCTTTTTGCGTCAGAAATAATGTTTATCCTTATATAACATAGTTCAGTGGTTTAGGTGTCTGGCTGTGAAACCAGAGGTCTGGGAGTGAAATTTCTCACTGTGCCTCCTGTGAGGAGGAGCCAGCCTGTGTGGTCTTGGGCTAGCTGCACAATCCCAGGACACCCCAAGAAGAAGAGAAAGGTAAATTACTTCCGAGTATTCTCTACCTGGAAAATCTTAGTAAGGGTTGTCGAAATTTCTTTTATTAAGGAACTTCTTTAGCTGAGTACTTAATACTTCTTTAAAAATAGGAGCTAGATAGTATATGCGTCTATCAAGCTGCCTCCTTCCATGCTTAGGAATACTAATACTAATGATGATGACTGGATCATTGACACTGCAATTCCAGGGGAAGCCGGAGTTGAAAATAAAGACTTAGAAAAACTAACAAAGTACAGAGACCTGGCAAAACATCTCGCTTGTCGATGAAACACACTTCATTGGTCCCTGTAGTGATTGGGGCTTTGGGAACAATATTAAGAAATTTCTCACAATACTTTAAGCAGTTGCGGATCTCAGAAATAACATCATTTCAGAGCTACCAAAAAATGGCAATATTAGGAACAGCATACATGCTGGGCTGATATTTAACAGATACAAGTTTAACCAAAACCCTAAGTATCTGTTATATAATACAAGTCAATGTTTTTGTAATTTTGATTAACTGTGCCTGGTGTTGTTGAAGAAGATCAAGTTGAAGATGATGCAGAAGAAGAAGAAGAAGATCTTAGAACTGCAGATCTGGAAGGGATCATTGAGTCCATCCCCTCTCCAGGAGGCCCAGTGGGGAATTGAACTCCCCATCTCTGGCTCCACAGGCAGATGCCTAAACCACTGAGCCAAACCATTCAGCACAACTGGAAGGGGGCTGTTTGGTGGAAGACTGTACTGGCAAGTTGAGAGGCCAAACCTACACATATAGCCCAATCTAAATTTGCTGTAAGGAGATGCCCTAGAACAGTGCTTTACAACCTTCAATCCTCCAGATGTTTTTAACTTCAACTTCCTGAGGCCCCCGGCCAGAAGGGTCAGTGATTCCGACAGAAGAGCCTAAGATTGAGAATAACTGCCTGAGAGGTACAACCCCACAGAAAACCCATATCACAACACCCCTCCTCCACACATGCTTACAGTGGTGCTGGGTGAGTAGTGGGGCTCTGAAAGACCCAGCTTTTCCTGGAGGACTGTGGCAGACACGAGCTGCGCAGAAGACATAGCGGCCATCGTCTGAAGTGCTTTGTCCTTTGCTACCTGGTCCTGACGGAAAACAAGAAAGAGACAAAAAAAAATCCCTGCTTTTCAGGAGCCCTTTTCTCTTGAACTTAACATCTTAGAATCATAGAATAATGGAGTTGGAAGTGGCCTATAAGGCCATCAAGTCCAACACCCGGCTCAAGGCAGGAATCCCAATCAAAGCAGATCCAACAGATGGTTGTCCAATTTTCTCTTGAATGCCTTCAGCGTTGGGCACTCACCGCCTCCTGAGGTAATTGGTTCCACTGTAGTATGGCTCGTTCATATCAAATCCCAAAGAATCCACAAGCTGTAATTCAAACCTCTGACATATCATCCCCGTCCCCTCCAGATCATGCAGATGCTCCACTAATGTATATGGCAATGCATTCAGTCCCTTACAACCCTAAAGCCTCTTCTTACCCACTTCCTACATGAAACAGGCAGGAATGGACAGGAGCAGAGCCCTGGCAGAACAGGATGATCTTATGATACTTTGCCCACCTTCAACACTCAGCTCAGAGTGCTAACCAGGCATTAAAGGAATTTTCATGCAAAACAAGAACTTCACCCACTCCACCTCCTCCTTTTCAAAAACTGGTAATATGTCTTTTACAACAAACTCTCCCCTTTAAGGAGAGTAGATGCGGAGCCTTTGCATGAACAAGATGGCAGTAGCAATAAACGATCTTACCTTGAGCTTGGCCTGAATCTCACGGGTTTTCCGCCGTGCCAGCACTTGAATGTGGCTGGAGACCTGCAGAAGGATTTGGTGAGAGGCCAAAAGGACAGTGTTTGGGGAGAACAGAGCGTGTTTCCTTCCCTCAAGCCCACTCCCCAGATTTATTTTCTATCAACCAAGACTCTCCAGTCAAACCTTTTACGCTCACCTGCTTCCTTGTCCGTGTTTTCCCTGTCCTCAGCTTGATATAACGAGCAATGAGTTCATTGCGGCCTGAGAGAGAGGGCAAGGAAATCAGATATACCATCTGTCCAAACTAGCCACTACTTGCAGAGGCTGTGCTCCCAAACATACCCCTCTGTTGCTATACTGGTCTAGCTGAAAATCATACCAAGGCTGCAGACTCTCTGAAGCCACATACAGCTGGAGAGACAGCACTAGAAATTCTGGGTCACCCAGGGCTTAGAAAAAATGCTGTTGCTGTTATGTGCCATCAAGTCCTCTTGGACTTACGCTGACCCTATGAATGAGCCATCTCCAAAATGTTCTCCTGCCCTCAAAGTCTCAGCTCTTACAGACTCAATCCTGTGGATTAGGGAGTCAGTCCTTGTATTTCATCTTCCTCTTTTCCTGCTGCCTTTAAGCTTTCCCAGAGAATCTTGTCTTCTCATGATGTGCCCAAAGTAGGGTAGCCTCAGTTTCAACATATTTTAGAAAGAATGCATTTGATTTAATTTGTTAACTTTAAATCAATACTTTTGCACTAAACACGAGTACAAATGTTAAGCTCAAAAATGTTATTTTTACAAGATGCATCCGTTTGTTTGTCCTCCTTAGCACAAAAATAATAATTTTAATATTAACATGATGTTCATCCTCCGACCCCACCAGATCTTTGAAAAGTAGGATGGGAGGTTGGCTGCTTCTCCCAAAATGGCCTGTGCACATTTTTTTTGTTCCACATTCCCAACAATATATTTATTATAACAGCTTTCTTGTAACAGTGTTGTTGGAGGGGACTTCCACCAGTCCTTTTCAGAATAAGTCTAGCTAATGGTGAGAAATCATGGGAGCTGTCATCCAAGAACATCTGGAGTCATACGCTCCCCATCTCTGTTCTAAAGAGGGTGGTTACATAGGATGTGTGTTACCCGAATTTACTCTTAAGATTATTCTGTGAGTTGGGTTAGAATAATAGCTCTGCCCAAGTGGGAGGCTGAAGCCAGCAGCTTTCTGAAAGAAAAAACATGCCTACTTTTTTCTGCAAAAGCTATCCTTGAAAATGAGCTTGTCATTAGCTGCTCTCCTGTGGCAAGTTCGAATACAGCCTATGGCAAGGCCCTGCTGTTACAATAACACTTCCCATGCAGCTGCCATAGTACTGCCCTCTGTTTACAAGAATATTTCTCCTAGCTCCGAAGAGCTTGTTGATCTTTGTTTTCACTTGTTTTAGTAACATTAAAGAGCACCTCATGCAGACCATCTGTGGTACAGCCCAGTTTAATTCACAAATATGCCAGAGGTTGCATGCAGGACTACCCCATCCCAAGTTCAGGGGGAGCAGGTTCGATCAGCATTATACCAGAGAAATGTAGTGCCACCTTGCCTTTAATAGCTCTCTCTTAGTCTTTGGGAGCTCCAAAGTATCTCCCTAATTTTTATACTTGATGCCATTCTCCATGTATTTTAAGCCTATTGCTTTTCACCACATCCTGTAGTTCTCAGGGTAATCCCTAAAGGAAATCAAAGGGAGGAAAAGGGGGGAAGCAGCCAGTTTGCTGCAGATGGAATGCTACACACCATACATCTTCCCTTCATCTGAGAGAATGATCTTGCGCCTCCCGCAGGGCGGATAGATTGCCAGTGCCTCCTGGAAACTCTGCTCGATGTCAGGGCTCCAGACCCCTTCGGCATCGTTGTCGAGACTCTTCTCGCCAGCATCCCCCATCTCCCCGGAGGGGCTGGCCCCCTCTCTCCAGCTGCCAGGCTCTATGGTGTCAGGATGAATACCTGAAAGAAAGCAGAAGTGGTGGTGGTGGTGATTTAAATAAGGACGAATTTATTTATTTATTTATTTGTTTGTTTGTTTGTTACATTTCTAGCGCACCCACCTAGTCATATAGACTACGCTAGGCAGGTAACAACATATCTTATAACAATTTACCAATTTAAAATCATAACAATATATTACTAAATAAACAATGATCCATGATGGGAGAAACACAAGATAACAAAAATTCAGACAGAAGGTGGAGTGAAGGCTTGCTTAAACAGCCAGGTTTTCAATTGGCATTAAAAGATGCCCAGTGAAGGGGCCATGCGAACCTCAGGAGGGAGGCTATTCCAAAGATGAGGAGCCACTGCCAAGAAAGCCCGGTTTCTTGTTTTTTTCTTCTTCTTGGCCTCCCTCGGCATTAGGCTCCTCAGCCTCACCTCCTGGCTAGATTGGGTGATACAGGTAGATCTAGGTGGGAGAAGGCGTTCCGTCAGGTAATGAGGCCCTAAACCATTTAGGGCTTTATACATAAGTATTAAGACTTTGAAATCTACACAGAACCGAACGAACGGGCAGGCAATGCAAGGTAGCCAGAGTGGGAGTAATATGTTGATGTTTCCTTACCCCACTGAGAAGTCTGGCCGCCGCATTCTGCACCATCTGGAGTTTCCGCATAGATCTCAAAGCCAGCCCCACATAGAGAGCATTACAGTGGTCTAATCTCGAGATTACGAGCGCATGGACCAGAGTAGTGAGCGACCCAACATCTAGACATAGTTGTAATTGATCATTACAAATGATCAGAGCTGATCTTTATTAGCAGATGGAAGATGAGAATCATCTTATCCAGGTACCACGTTCTTTGGGAGTGGGGGGGGGGAAGGAAAGAAGTCAACTGAAGGGGGCCCACAGGCTGCCCTGTCAGTTATGCTTGGTGTTACAGGCAGTATATGTACAGCCAGACAGATCCGGAAGTGAGCAAGGGTGACATGTAATTGCATAAAGAAGAAAACTAGGCTCTCCCTCAGTGGAAAGTCCAGTGTACACGAATTAAATCTCTCCAGAAACCAGATTGTTCAAAGGCAGGCATGAAAAAGCTTGGGCCTCCCTCCCCCTCCCTTCTCTGCTTCTCCCCATCAAATCAAAACCCAGTTCTTTGCCTGCTGGTTATTCCAGTTCAAGTGACCCCTGGGAGCACAGTTCAGCAGTGAGACAAAGAAACCTTCCAGCATGGATTACATCTTGCCTTAAAGAACAGGAAGGGGGTTGGCTCTTCTAATCTGTGCTCAGATCCACACATACACACACACCAACAATTGTAGGCCCTCATTTCCTTTCCTCCCCCCACCCCGCCCCCTCGCCAAAAGACTCTCTCAACAGCTGTAGCCTTCCCAGACGGATAAAAACTGTGTACGCAGAGAGACACTTCCCTGGCGTAAGATTAATCGCAACTGCCAGCTTCCTCAGAGCCGAGCCAAGGACATGCATTTGCAGCAGTTAAAACAACTGATTTTGTTTTGCTTGCGCTTTGAGGTTTTCCTCTGCTTTTGATACTGATTTTTACAGAGCTGAGAGAGGGAGGGAAGGAGAGCGCAGAGAGAGAGATGCAAGGGAACCAGATTATTTTGATAAACTTCCTTTGGAAAAAAGCCCACAGGGAACAGTTTCCTTTAACTTTTTTCTTCCTGGGAGTGTTTCCCACCCAAAGGGATTTCCTGTTTCACCACCAAGGCAATTTTGAAACCACTTATGCACAAGTGACTTTCAGAAAGCGCGAGTCATAAAATAATCTGGAACAAAAGCAATGCTGTGTTCCTTGGCAAAATTTGGGGTGGTGGGAAGGATTCGAAAGCAGGGTGCCTGGCAAACCTTTAACACAGACACACAGACGTACTCCAAAAGTCTGAATACTTGCAATCTTAAGGACAGCTTTTTAAGGCAAATATTATTAGATGTATTCATATCAGGGAGAATACATAGACGTGGACTTCACCTCTCATACACAACATCACTACTCATATACACAGAGATTAGAGTGCAATAAAGAATTTCACTGCAAAAACAATATCAACGTTTTACAAAACGAATAAAGCAAACATTTAATGTCACGTTTGATTGTCATCCCCATTCTACACTGTTGCTCGCAGTGGTGTCCAACCTTGGCCCTCCAGATGTTCTTGGACTTCAACTCCCAGAAATCCTGGCCAGCAGAGGTGGTGGTGAAGGCTTCTGGGAGCTGTAGTCTAAGAACATCTGGAGGGCCAAGGTTGGACAAGCCTGCGCGTATCTAGACACAAGTAACAGAAAGCAGGAGGAGAAACAGAGAGGGGAAGAGAAGCAATTACCCATAATCTAGGATTCAGTAGAAATGAAGGTTCCTCTAGCTACTTAACAGAGTTAAGAACTCAGATCTTGTGAAATACACTCATAAAGAGCTCTCAGAGGCTGCTGCAATAGTCATTTATCTGTGGTGTAAAGAGTTAAATAGTTTCCATGCATTGCAAGCAGACAAGGGGAAAGTGGGGTGAGTTGTTAAACTGGATAAATTTGTAAAATTGATGGTATCTTTTATTCTGGACTATAAAAATGCTCAATAGACTTAATCTGAGTGTTTTGTTGTTGCTGTTTAGTTGTTAAGTCGTGTCCAACTCTTCGTGACCTCATGGACCAGAGTACACCAGACTCTCCTGTCTTCCACTGCCTCCCGGAGTTGGGTGAAATTCATGTTGGTAGCTTCGATGACACTGTCCAACCATCTTGTCCTCTGTCGTCGCCTTCTCCTCTTGCCCTCACACCTTCCCAACATCAGGTCTTTTCCAGGGTGTCTTCTCTTCTCATGAGATGGCCAAAGTATTGGAGCCTCAGCTTCAGGATCTGTCCTTCCAGTTGAGCACTCAGGGTTGATTTCATTCTAAATGGATAGGTTTGTTCTCTTTGCAGTCCAGGGAACTCTCAAGAGTCTCATCCAGCACCACAATTCAAAAGCATCAATTCTTAGGCGGCCAGCCTTCTTTACAGTCCAGCTCTCATTTCCATACATTGCTACTAGAAAAACCATAGCTTTGACTATGTGGTCCTTTGTTGGCAAGGTGATGTGTCTGCTTTTTAAGATGCTGTCGAGGTTTGTCATTGCTTTCCTTCCAAGAAGCAGGCGTCTTTTAATTTTGTGGCTGCCGTCACATCTGCAGTGACCATGGATCATCTTTTAAGATTTTAAATAGTTCAGCTGGAACACCATCACCTTTGTCTGGGACATCCAGATCTTTCTGATATAATTCCTCTGTGTATTCTTGCCACATTTCTTGATGTCTTCTGCTTCTGTGAGGTCCCTGCTATTTTTGTCCTTTCTCATGTCCATCTTTGCACAAAATGTTCCTTTAATATCTCCAGTTTTCTTGAAGAGATCTCTGGTTTTTCCCTTTCTATTATTTTCTTCTATTTCTTTGCACCCTTTTTTTAAGAAGGCCTTCTTGTCTCTCCTTGCTATTCTTTGGAAGTCTGTGTTCAATTTTTTGTACCTTTCTCTATCTCCCTTGCATTTTGTTTCCCTTCTCTTCTCTGCTATTTGTAAGGCCTCGTTGGACAGCCACTTTGGTTTCTTGTATTTCCTTTTCTTTGGAATCGTTTTTGTTGCTGCCTCCTGTACCATGTTAGGAGCCTCCAGCCATAGTTCTTCAGGCACTCTGTCCATCAAATCTAGTTCCTTAAATCTGTTCTTCACTTCCACTCTCATTTCTTTAAGAACTTGCCATAGTTTGTTGTGGTCCACACAGTCAAAGGCTTTTGCATAGTCAATGAAGCAGTTCATAAACTAAAGCTGAAATGCACAATATGTTAAGGAGGGAGTAAATCCCATTAATTTACCCTGTTTCCCCAAAAATAAGACGAAACCTCAAAATAACCCCTAGTATGGTTTTGTAGGATGCTCATAATATATGCCCTACCCCCAAAATAAGCCCTAGTTAAATGAAATCCACCCTCCACCATTGTCCAGCATTGTTCAGCAACCAGAGGATGACATGACTGTAAAATAAAACATCCCTTGAAAATAAGCCCTAATGCATTTTTTGGAGCAAATATTAATATAAGACCCTGTCTTATTTTCGGGGAAACACGGTACATTGGATTTACTTTTAAGGAAACTATTATTTTCCCATTTGAATGCCACTACTTCTTTCAGAAGATCACAGCAGTACAAGTAGTGCTGTAGTAATCTTGCAATAATGCTACACTACACTGTCTGATACCACTGTAATTGCCTGGTTCCCTCCTATGGAATCTTGGGATTTGTAGTTCCATAGCGTATCCAGAATCCCCTGAAGTAGTTTGCAGAAGGTAGTCTATTCTAGAGCAGTGGTTCTTAACCTTGGGTAATCCAGGTGTTCTTGGACTGCAATTCCCAGAAGCCTTCACTAACAGCTATGCTGGTTGGGGCTTCTGGGACTTGCAGTCCAAGAACACCTGGGTTACCCAAGGTTAAGAACCACTGCTCTAGAGTATTCTAGTAAAGATGTTTAAGTATCTCCCCAAACTACAAATCCCAGGATTCTGTAGGACAGAGTCCTAACAACTGAAGAGGTTTCAAACTTTTATAGATGCATTATGTAGATATACTCTAAGAGCTTTTAGCCTGAGAGGAGCCTCTTGCCCATGTTGGAATTTGAATCCAAATCTCTTCAGTCCCACTGCTACAACTTCTAGTTAATACATCATATTCTAAGCCGGGGTGGGCAATTAATTTCTATAGGGGGACCATATGAAAAATCTGAACTGTGTTCGGGGGCCGAACCAACTTTACTTCAAAATGAAATGAAACAATGATGTTATGATTGTTTTTATTTAAACTTGTTAGTCTTCACAAATACTAAAGAGGTTTTTTTTGCGATATGTTAAAGATAAGCAACTGATCAACTTTAGACAAAAAGCTAGAAATGGTTTTCATGTTCAAAACTGTCTGTGGGCCGGAAAGGAGTGGCTCGCGGGCCGTATGTGGCCCTCGGGACGCACTTTGCCCAGGTCTGTTCTAAGCACTACACCTGAATGCTTGGTAGGAGACAGCATCACTAAAGCCCTATACTTACTTGAAAGTAATCATAAGGAGTTTTACTTCCCAGTAAGTGTGCAGTTTTACTATCTACAGTTGAAAAAAATGGAATTTTATGAGACCCGGGGTGGTTATAGTGGTAGGAGTATTAGACTAGGATCCCACAGCCCAGCTTCCAAATCCTCATTTGGCCATGGAACTCACTGAATGAGTTTGGGCAATCATGTTTTCTGGGCATGACCTACAACACAAGGTGAGGATAAAAGTGGGAATAAGAACTGTGTATGTCACCTTGATGTTACCCTACACTGGGCACTTTTAAGAATCAACTAAAAACATGGTTGTATGTTCAGGCCTTCCCTCCTGTCAATATTTAATTCTTTCTTTATTTTTTCTTTCATTTATTATTTGTTTTATTATTGTATGTGTTATGGACTGTTTGTAAAATTCTTATGTTTTCGTATACACCTTATTGGAAGCCGCCCAGAGTGGTCGACCAGACCAGATGGGCGGGATATAAATAAAACAAACAAACAAACAAACAAACAAACAAACAAACAAATAAATAAATACTGGAGGAAAGAGAGGACATACATATAACAAATAATAATAAATATAATATTCCCATAGACTTTAACAGTAGGAATATGGAAGCAAAACAAACAAAAAGCCACCCAAAACCCAAACCTATCTCTTTTAAAGATTCAGTTGAAAAAGCAAGTTAATAATCCCAGGAAATGCCAACAATAGGTTTGCTCATGAAGAAACTGAAATATTGAACACATTTTTCAGAGGCCTAGATAGATCTATCCTTTCAGTTCAAAACACCGAACTTTTTGGGGATACGTTATCTTGCAGACAGAGATAAAGAATCGGTCACAGATAACAGAGCTCTGATTTGCCTCCTGTTAATTTTCCTACATATTTAAAAACAGGTAGTTGTAAAGGAGATTAAGAGAGTTCCTGCTGTCCTCCACGAAACAGGAATGGGCCCCAGCGTTATCCTGTAATTTGAGTCACACATGCATCCATGTGAAAGGTCATGTTTGTTTTTGGAACAAGTCACATCAAGGTCTTGTGCAAATGGAGATTGCGCTATACGAGTCAGTCTCTCTCTCACACACACAAACACACACACGCAACACCTAACATTACTTCTCCTCTCCTGTATGCAAATACACACACACAAACACACACACACACAACACCTAACATTACTTCTCTTCTCCTGTATGCAAACATGGACAGCACAAAACCCACACCACATTCACCTCACGAAACCTGTCCACCCAAAGTTTTAACACCCAGGCAACTAAACCTGGCATACAGAACATTCAGTTACAAGGCCACATAACACCTCTGCAACTTCTGGGGTTATCAGGATGGCACAGCCTGCTCTCCAGATGTTCTCCTTGCCTCCAAAGGACTGCCAGCCAAGACATAAACCGGCTTGGCATCCCCCCGCCCTCCTCTCAGCAGAAGTGACCTTGTGGACTCCCGTCCCTCCCTCCGTGTAAGCAGAGCTCTCCCAAACAACGTTAGACAAAGGAAAGGGGTGTGAAGGGATGTTGAACCAAAGAGGCAGGCAGCACCACAGACCTCTGGATAGAGCGATTTGCAGTAGACGTTTCCAACATTCAGGTGTTCAACCACAAAAAAGCAGAAGTCCTACATACACTTGTTTGTTTGACAGACTGGTCAGTTCCCTTTTCAGGGCCAGATGGGGCTGCCCCTCCACAAAGGCAAGGTGGGGTGAGCCCTTTCGGCTGCAGATGCATGGGAAGGGCTGACCACTGCTTCTCTCTTAACCCATTCCCCGCTTTTGGGAGGATGGAGTTATCACCTAGTCTGTCTTGTCTAGTGCTTCAAGAGCAAGGGGGGGACACACGATCCAATTATTCATGTTGAAATATTGCACTGGTACCAGTCTAGTTGAAGTATGGGATGGCAAGAGCAAGGCATCTCGTCTATCACTTCAGGCAACAGAATTTGCCTCAGTATCCCCAGTCGTAAAAACAGAACTTTATAGACTTCAGACTGCTGTGCCTTAAAACAGCAAGTGAAAGGAAAACACAATCATTACCGCTATATCTTGGCTTATTTTAATCAGTTCTTTTTCATCTTGCATATTCCTCAACAATAGCATAAAAATTAACTGGTTGCTCTTTTGACCACGTCTCAATGCAGTTCTGTTAATGAGTTCTCAAACGTTTTCTGTTTAAACCTCTGATCTGTAGTATTCAAGAAAGCTAGATTTGGCAGAAGAGAGTGACTAAAATGATGTCTGGGCTGGGGCACCTCCCTTAGGGGGAAAGGCATTTGGGGCTCTTTGGTCTAGAGAAAAGGTGTCTAATGGGGGGGGGGGGATGACATGATTGAGACATGATTGAGATGTATAAAATTATGCAGGGGGTGGATAGAGGGAAGCTCCTTTCCCTCTCAAGCAATATTAGAACCAGGGGATATCCACTCAAATAGAGTGTGGGGAAGAGTGAGAACAGACAAAAGAAAAAATTTCTTTACCCAGAGTGGTGCTAGTCTGTGGAACCCCTTGCCACAGGATGTGGTGATGGCATCTGGCCCAGATGATTTTAAAAGGGGCTTGAACAGATTTCTGGAGGCAAAATGCATCGCAGGTTATAAGCCATGATGGGGATGTATAACCTCCAGGCTTAAAAGGAAGGTGCCTCAAAATGCCAGATGCAGGGGAGTGGTATCAGGAGACAGGTAGTGCGGCCACTGTGAGATACAGGAAGCTGGACTAGATGGGCCCTTGACCTGATCCAGCAGGGCGCTTCTTAAGTTATGTCTATGCAAGACTTACAGGGAAAAACTGGCACCGCCCTTTAGGCCGCTATTTTGTACCTGGTTCAAATTGACAGATCTAAAGGTTCCAGAAGGGAAAAAAAAAGATCAACTCAAAGACTGGGGGTTTGCTCATTCCTGGCCTAAAAGGACAATATGCGATGCTTTGACAGTAGATGCTTTTTGTATCCATACCATTTTGTAATCATAATTTATAACTATCAATCAACAATGTTGTGCATTTCTGTTATACATGCCTGATATAGAACCACAGTTGCCAGACAGGGGTCTTATGGTTCAGATCTTGTCCACACACAATATACATACAACAGGGCTCAAATCCAAAGTCTCTCCTAAACTCACTAAACCAATCCTGAATGGCAAGGCAACACTTCTGTAAACACCACCAATTTAATACATTTACTCTAGCAGGACACATTAGCATTCACATGTAGAGAAAACGTGTGACTTTTCACAGGCCACAAGACTTGTTTCACCTTGCTGGGTCCCAAAAGTTCCTCCCTCATAAGAAGTTTGTGCTTGTCAGCCTTGAGACTCTTCTCCTTGTTCCTAAGCCTCTGAATCATAAAATCCGTAGGAGGCAAGCACTTTGTGTTTACACAGAAGTCCCATTGTGTTTTGTGGGGTTTACTCCCACATAAGTGAACCCAGAAAGAGTCTGTTGACTCTTTTGAGGAAGAGAAAAAAATATATAAAGCGTCCCCCTTGATGATCCAGATATATTGTGAAGGCCGGGCTGTAGGGTAAATGAAGCATACCCACCCCTTCCAGAAGTCCAGCCAAGCTTCCTTAACAAAATGTAATCCGCAACAAATCCGTTCACACCCTCCATTGAAGCTCACTATCAAAACGACGCCCAGGCATACAATGTTCCCTGTAAACTGTTGTGTGTTCGAACAACCTAATGAACTCAAAAGAGAATAAGAAATGGTCAGCCCGGAACGATCCTTTTCCCCAGACAAAGAAAAACTCGACAGCACACGCAAACCAGCCATTAAAAAATAAATACAGTAAAAGCTCGTACCCCGTTGCCTCCATGCTTCAGTGTTTCACGTACAGAAATGTTTTTGGAAGAAAGGCACTGAGGTGTTGGGGAGCGAACTTTCACTTACTATTCACGTCTGCAAAATACTTTTTAAAGCACACAAGATATATACAGTACTGTGTGTGTGTGTGTATGTATATACACCCGATAGTTTAAAGAACTTTTAAAAACACATGCTCACAAGTAAGCCTGATGTCTTAAAAATCCGTAACATTTTGTAGGTGTTCTCTCCGCACTCCCGAGCAGAACCTGTATGTTGTGCTTGCGAGTATACACGTGTGTGCGCGCGACAGAGAACACACGTGTGCGTGTGCCGAACAATCCTGTACAGTAAATCAAAAATTAAAGGGCAAGCAGACGTTTTCCCTGAAAATAAAATAAATGCTGCTTACGAATCTTTCTCTTCTGCAATTATAAAGCAAAATAGTTTACAAAAATGGAAAGCAAAACTAACCACAGCTCTGTGCTCATTCCCCCAGAAGAGACGTACGTTTCAGCCGAGATTTCTTTGATAAGCCTAGTTCCCGAAAGGAAGTTGTGATTAATCACTGATTCAACCGAGAAAGAAGAAATGGCTTGGGAAGAGGAGGAGAAAAATAATAATAATATCATACTTACTTTCAGCAGACACTCAACCGGCTGGTTTTGTGTGAAGGGAGAGAGAGAGAGAGGAAAAGAGAAACTTTCCCTGAACTTTGTTTAGGAAAAAAAAACGTGGAGAGAGAGAACTCCAGTCTCTCCACTGCCAGGGTTAATTTTGGCTCATCCAGGAGGTTCCTGCCCACTCGTCGGGATTGGAAATGGGAAGCGCTGGGAAGCGGCGGGTGTGCGCAAAAGCGCAACACAGGCCTGCGTGGTATTTTGGAAGAGTGACAGTTTTCCTCTGGAATTCTTGGAATGAGGCAGAGGAATTAAATTAGCAGCAGTGACTCAGTTTCATGGGGGGTGGGGGAAGAGGAGGGCCCCGGTGTTTGAGGAGGAGGGCCTTAGAAACAGGCCCTAACCATCATCCGCAGGAAAATGTTGACCAGGAAAAGAGGAGGAGGAAGAGATTTATTTATTTATTTATTTAAAAGCTACCTTGATCGGAAGAAGGCGCGGCGGGGCACCTGCGTGTCTCTCGATGTTTTTAGTCTCCCAACTTCTTGGGCAGCCCCGGTCCGAGATGGCCGAACGGCAGGAATTTGTGGAAGTTGTTCAACAACTTCTGGAGATTCACAGGTTCCCGACCCCCGTGAGCTGAAAAGATTACACGAGAGCAAAGGGTGCGCCTTGTGTGGTTAGTTTCCAAAAGATATGACGGCGACGAGGGCTTAGAAACCTTTATTTTGCTGCAACACGCATAAATCTGGGATTTGTACTTCAAAAAGTAACGTTTGTAAGCTGCGCTGATGACCCTCTTTATTGAAGGGGGAAGAGGCAAATGCACAGACGTGTTGATCACTGGCTGTGGGCCTTACTGTAGGATAGCGGGAAGTGGACTCTTTGGACAAGAGATTTCGGGTGTGCTGTGAAAAACCCGTGTGATTTTTATTTGTTTGTGTTTGTATTTTTCCTGGCGAGAATGGCGAAAGGTGGTATTGGAGATTTCTAACTCATCTGCTTGAACAATTTGACTCTCGTTGGGTACTCTGTTGGGTGGTGCAAACTCGGAGTTCATTGATTGTGTTAATAGTGCTATTGGCATTTTGAAATTTCAGTTCCTGTGCCTGTGTTCATGTTTTGAGGTCCCCAACCCCTGTAATGAATATTTAATAATGTTACGTCCCATCAACTTGGAACTGATTTATTGAGACACTTATAGGGCTTTCAATTTTACTGATGCATTAAAACTGTGCTTTTACTACTGTAGTCTCACACCCTCAATGAGTTTCTGTGGTAGAGCAGACATTCAAACCCAGGTATCCTGAATCCTAGTCCATCAATCTGATCCACTATGCCACACTGGAGATTCATCTATATTTTATTTAAACTGGCAGCTAAATCTTTTCACAAAAGTGCATTATACACTGATATAAATCAGGCAGTCTTTCCAAAACTGGATGGTCTGTATTTTCTGTGCCAGGAAGGTAGTGAGATGTGACCTGTGATTTTTTTAAAATACACATTCTTCAGGATTTATTTGTAACACATTTTTATCTGAACTAAAGCACTAAAAGCACTTGTTAGAGTCTTGGTTTGTTAAATTATTTGAAATTTGACATTTGTCAAATTTCAAATAATTAAATTGTCAAATGTCAAATTTCAAATAATTAAATTATTTGAAATTTGACATTTGTAACATTTGTAACAAATTTGACATTTGTAACATTTGAAATTTGACATTTATAACATTTGTAACATCTTTATCGTTTGGAAATCCCAATTAAGAAATCATAGCTGTTATTAGGTTTAATTGGTTAATTGCAAACCTATCCTACCTGTGAAACAGGTGAAAAGTTTAGGTGACACAGAAAAGATGTGCACCAGTGCCAATCCAATATTATAAGTGGCTACTAGTCCTGATGGCTGCAAATTATATCCACTATCAAAGGAAGTATGTCTCATCAGTTTGCTGGAGAACATGAGCACAAGGCTGCTGATGTACTCACCTTTAGTTTGGGGGCTGCTTATGGCCATCTGGCTGGCTGTTGTGAGGACAGAAAGCTGGATGAGATAGGCCTTTGCTTTGATCTGCATGCCTCTTCTTACGTTCTTATGTGATGTTCCTAACTCTCACTTGTTGCACACACAAGAATGCAGTGGGCATTTACGTATGTCAGGACATAGGTTGGCAGATAAAATTTTCCTGCCATTGATAGTAGCGGTAGGGAAGAAGGTAAAAACAAGAGTATTGTCTCTGTTGTATCTGCAAAAAACCTTTCCTTATGTTTTCCATCTCTTCCTGTTAGATGAGGAGCTATCGTTGGTGGGGCAGGGGACAGTTCTGAGGGGTCCCCAACCTCCAGTACGCGGCCCCTGCCGGTCCATGGCCTTGGCAGGTCCGGGCCACAGAGACAGATCTCCCACCCACCCCCGCCCACCCTCTGCACTCGCGGCCCTCCCCCCAGGTGCCCCATCCCCACAAGTGCCCCCCTGCATGTACTGAGTGTGCCGCACCCCCTTCACACATGCGCGCCCCTGTGCATGCTACAGTGACAGCCACAGCCTTTTGATCTCAAGAAAATGTTCTTCCTGTGTCAATATGACATTTGGCCCCTTCTCCCATCATCATTGAAGGGA